GAAGCATTTAACGATAAAGACAAGGAAGGCGTTGATCCAACGGGACTGGCGAATGATGGTGTAACGAATCGTGTTGCGGGCATGTCCCTCAAATACACATTGGAAGAACACAAGGGAGCCGTTACTGGAATTGCATGTTTTGCGAGGGATGGGACTCATTGGCTGGTATGTGCACGTTCGTTTTACAACCAAAAAAAGGCCAGACACGCACCTAGGACTCACATAAACAAAAAAGCTCAGTTCCGGATTCGATCGTCGTATCTGCATATGGGAGTACATGCCCACAACCGCCCAATTCCAACGCCACGACGTCTTTCGAAACGCTCACGCAGGGTTCGGTAAAGAAGAACTCGCTGCAGATGGCATCATCCTCGACCTTGCTTACTGCCCAGAACGAAACGAGTTTGCCTATGCTTCAGCAGATAAACTGGCTTATATCCGTAAATTCTCACCAAAAGGGACCGAAATGTTACTACAAGCCATTTTACAAGGCCACGAAGCCGAAGTCACACAGGTAAAACACAAAGCTACAAGTTTACCTGAACATTCTTGCCTTTTTAACACAACGTCCAGATCAAATGGAACGACATTCACAAACAATGGATAACAGCCTCTGAGGACCGTACGATCCGTATCTGGCCTCCAGAAGGTATCCCCTGTCTCCGCGTCATCAACAACGACGCACCCTGTACCGCACTCTGTATCGACAATGTCAACGGGAGTATTATCACCGGGTCCCAAGATAAGATTATTCGTGTGTTTGATCCGGATAAAAAGGATGAGTTGGTGCAAAAGAATGTGGGACATACGGATGAAGTTCGATGTATTATACACATCCCGGTTCGGAATCAGGTACGAAAAAGAAGTAACAGAAGCTACCATGTTTTATTGTTTTTACATTTCAAATGTCTTCTTTTTCTTTTGGGTGGTGACAGTATGTATCGGCCTCGTGGGATAACACTGTGCGCGTATGGAATGGTATGCTACCATTCAATCTTTCTTTTGTCAAAATTTTTCACTTTTTAACACCGTCGATACCCTATCCAGCATACCTCAAAAAAGGTCAGCTCCCAACCACCCAAAACCACATAATTCCTCTTTCTTACCCCTCTATCGATAGGACAACGCCGAATCGCAGCATCAAAAAGCACTACATACACCCCCACAGGAACATTTGACGAACTCGAAGATGTACGTTTCATCAGAGTATCCCACACTTGTTTCCGTTACTCACAAAACCTTTTTTCACAGTCAGCAACATATTCTGACATTAACCCCCTCATTAAACCCAAACTGCTCTCCAAACCCCTCTTCATAACCGACTTATCCCCAACAAAAGGCTCCCATAAAGACGAGTACGGGTTACCCACCGTAAGTTAAAAAACACCCCATTACCACTCCAAACCCCCATCTTACACATTACTGTTTTAAAGCAACAATCTCGACTTGAAGATGAACTCCGATCTACACTGAATGATCTGGAAAACGCATTAGCGGCATCCGATGTAAGTTTGATAAAATGTGCATGTTTTGGGTTCTTTTTGCTGTTTTGGTAATTCTATTGGGTAGAAGGCACAGAGTGCTAAACGAGGTAGAGGAACGAAATCAGATCGACGAAAAGGGTCTGAAGGACGGATTGGATAGTCATACATACAGTATTTATTTATTATACAATTTATGTGTGAGAAATGTTATGGGCTTGCTCTGAGAGATGGCAGGGTCATATCGCTCGCAAGTGCATCTCCCCGTCCCTGTAGCCCGTAATGCAGTTCCTATCGTCTATATCGTAATCATTGCACACCTTGTCACCCATTCCAACATGGAGAAACCTGCGGAATGGGAGGCGAAGGCGGTAGTGTTTTGTTGTGTACACTTGCGAAAAGTAACGATTTTGATAAACAAAAAACAAAACGAAATAGCACGAATGTTGGATTATCACTTGTATGGGCACTGCAACCGAGATTGCAACCATACTCTTAACGTGACTGAAAAGCGTGTGTGCAGTGACTGGGTACATTTAATCGAATAAATGCATTAAATCCTACTTTATGTAATAAAGTGTTATTTACCTTGGATGGTTAAGCGACAAGCTGCGCGTTGTGTGCTAGAAAATAAACTTACTCCACGATCACTCCGTTATTTGCAAAAATGACTTTGGTTTTTTTTAGACTTTCAAATTGTTGCTCCGCAGCGTTTTTTTTGTGTTGCTGATAAGCGGAAAAGTGCAGCAGCAACATGAGAGCAAAAAAAAAAAAATAGATGGAAACAAGAATGACTGTGATGCTGAAAATATAAAAGCATAGCGAATCAACTGACACCATCTTAGCATCTCATCCCCATCCTCATCAAAGCCATGCACAGTCTTGCTATTCTCACATTGTCGCTGGTCAGCGTAGTGGTTGCCCAGAATGAAGGTGGCCCAGTGTCGCTGCCTCGTCCAATTCCTTCCTTGACTCTCCCATCTGTGCCATCTGGGTTCCCTACTACTTTTCCTTCGGCGTTCCCATCGGCGTTCCCAACCATTGCTCCATCTAGTCTGCCGCAGACAGCGGGACCGTCCAGTGTGACAGCAAGTATAGCACCCAGTGGAGCGCCTACCCCGAGGGCCACAAGTTCTCCGACGAACCCAATAGGCAATTCCCCAAGCAATCTACCAGGAGGAGGTAAATGACCACGAATCTAAGCAAAAATCATACTATGACAAAGGTGTTGATTCATGATCATCCTTGGCTATTAGATTGCATGCAACTAGTGAGTGGGCTCGTCGACTGTGAAAGTGAATTTGTCCGGGCTGCCATTACCCAGTCCATCGATTACCCCTCCGAAGCCTTTGACACGGCAATCGCAAAATTTAGCTCCTGCACATGCGACATGTTCGGAAAACTCAATAGCCTCCAAAGCTGCAAGAGCAATATGAACGACCAAGAGTTGAAGGATGTGAAAGGCGTTTGTGCCGAACAGCCTTTGAGTGTCAACAAAGTTTTCCTAGCCATTGGAAAGGCTACCGGACAAACTGCTACGATCAAGTTGCCAAATGGAAAGACTGTCACCCCACCGTTCAAGAATGCAAAGGGTGAGGTTGTCAACAGTGCTCAGAACACTGGAGCCTCTCTCATGGGGGTCATTGGGTTGGCTTTGGCTGTCGTTGCTGCTATGTAGATTTCAACTTCTGTAACAAGAAAATACCTCATAGACTGCTGGCAAATATAAGCAGAGCACACTAGTTTAGATGGGCTAGATGAGCATAGTTCGCAAATAAAAAAAAGTTATATCCAACTCGATGTTTGCGTAATCATTGTAAAGACTTAATTTCCAGATGACTGTGCAAACCGATTAGCCAATAAAAAGGTGGCACAGCTCTCATTCTTTTTGGCGAGACTGGAAATGAACGATCGCTTGGCGACTATCTGCAAAAAACACACCTACAAAAGCGAGTCGACTGGGACATTGGACGGGTGGGACGCCAGTAACAGAACTCATACAAAAATGTCCAACGATATGATGGCACTGTACTGGGAGTTGGCCTCCGTCGACCCCACAGTACGTCAAAAAGCTGCCGACAAACTTGTCCGCGCTCTGTACACATTCCAGCATGATCTCCACCCAACACTGGAAAACGCCGTCTCAACGCCTTCAGGCGATAATTTGGACCAACTTTGTGCACAGGATGTATCGTACGGTATTAAGCGATTGCTGAGAGGGTTGCCTTCTTCGAGGGATGGAGCCCGGCAGGGGTTTGCGGTTGCTTTGACAGAGGTGGGTGTTGAGCTGCTCCCACGGGAACGAATTCAAAAAAATGACCAACTTTTTTTTTGCTCAGTTGCTGAAAAGTTTGGAATTTCTTCGAGTCTCAACGGCTCTGTCTCTACTCGCCAAACTGACACAAACCGAAGGAGCAAAAGGCCAGGAGGAGCGGGATATCCTGTTTGGACGGATCTTTGGGTTAATGGCCATATGTCAGGCGGACATGTTGGCAAGACCGCATACCACGATTGAAGATGTACAGGAGATGGTGACGAGGCTTTTGAAATATGCATCGAGCAAGTCGTACATCAAGGAGACTTGCTTCAAAGTGTTGATAACCATGGTGGAGAAGCTACATGAAACAAAACTAGAGGCGGAGGCTGTGGAGTATGTTATTCCCACTGTTTTGAGCAAGGGGATTGAGGGTCCAGAGGAGCTGTGGTTTGCTATTGTCATGCAATCTCGGTATCCAAAGTTTGCATGGGCATCCGTCCTCCCATCCTGGAGAGATGGTTCAGTCCTCCACACAAAGAACAAGACACAGCTTGTCGCGATTCTCAAAGAGTCGACGTACACTATTCCACGCGTTCACTTGGTATGGGACGCCTTGTTGGATGCTGTGCTTACCAGCCCTCCATTAAGCAAGCTCTCCATTCGGGATTTATGGAGCGTCCTCGATGACGCACTGTTTTCCTCCTCTTACGAACGCAAATTCCTTGGTTTACTCCTCTTTCAAAAGATTCTTCCCCGTCTTGATGCGACCGAGGTTCCATTCTTGTTCACACCTCAACTCCTCCGCACACTGATCAACAACCTTGCGAAACACGACAATTACCTGCATAAAGTCGCCAAACAGACGGCCAGCATGCTTTCAACTGTGGCCTTAGAGCGGAAAGATGTTGCATTGCAGCTGGTGTTGCAGCTGGTCGGGAAGAATGGACATCAGAGGTTCGATCAGGTGACCAAGACGAAAACAGTTGAGAACATCTTGGGTAGCTTGGAAGGAGAAGGAATCGAAACCTACATCAAATATCTCCAAGACATGTTTGTAAACCAAGGTGAACCGGGTGACGCAGGGGAGGCGGATACTGTGAATCAACGCCGGCAATGGGCCGTAGACCAGATGTTGCTTCTTTTAAAGAACGGAAAGATCCCAAAGGAGGAAAAATGGATCCAGCGGATTGCGCGTTTCGTATGGCTTCATGCTTTTTTCAAGGTTCAAAAAGCAGACCCAAAGGTGGATGTGATTCAAGTCCCGCGTCCAGAGGTATCCGACGCTACTAGGGAACTTTGCACAGAAAGACTAGGTAGCTTGTTGGCCACACTTGCCGGAATTGCTTTGAAATCAACTGGAGGTGACATTTTCTCCTTCTTCTGGATCGACCGGTATGCGCAATACTGAATCTTTACTCTATTTTAGAAACGCGATTGGCCCCAGGGACCATGACAGATGGCCAGTATTGGGCAAACGATCTCCACACCTTCACGGTGGATCTTTCCAAGAACAAGCGCGTATCGCTCCTGGTGGAACTAGACCAAGAAGCGCAACAAACCGTTCAAAACGCAACATCCACCCTTCATTCCATTCAGAAGCGGATTACCAAACCCGAAGTGTCCCAAAACCGCGACGTCTTGGCCCAATACAAGGCCTTTGAGCTACTCTTCCTCCATCTTCTTCTCCATGTGTATATTGAACCGGCGGAAGCTGTTGGCGTCCTCGACGAACTGAAGAATTGTTTTGACCTGTTTTTCCAGGACAAATCTGCAAGTCCTAAAAAGAGAAAGGCAAAGGATGCTGACGATATGGAAGAAGATCACGCTCCTATCGAGGTTTTGGTGGATATTTTGATCAGTTTCTTGGCGAAACCTTCCGCTCTCGTTAGGAGTTTGTCGCAGGATGTATTCAAAGTGTTTAATAACCAGTTGACGAAAAAGTCGTTGGACCTTATCTTTGAGGTTTGCACATTTTTATTTGTGATTGATTTGCTGGTCGTCTGACTAAATGATTGTATTTGCTAGGTATTATCTGCAAAGGGCGGTGTTGCCGGTGCTCAAGAGCTCTTTGAGGAGGAGGAAGAAGAGGACGAGGATGTTGACATGGAGAGTGGTGATGCCATGGATGTTGATTCGAAACAAGAGGACGATGATGACGAAGACGATGAAGAAGAGGGCGAAGACGAGGACGAGGACGAAGATGATGATGATGAAGAAGAATCTGGAGAGGTGGACGAAGAGCTTCGACGTAAAATCAAGGAAGCCCTAGGCAATGCCGCCATCGACGAAGAAGATGATGATTCAGACGAAGAGGCATTTTTGGATGACGATGAAATGGAGGCATTTGATGATAAACTGGCAGAAATTTTCCGTCAACGAAAGGAAATAAAAACCGCAAAGAAAGGTACTGTGACAAAAAACCTGTACTGTATTCCCCCTGCATTCCTCCATTTCTTATGAATCTCCACTCTTTCCAGATGTCAAAAATCAAGTATTGCACTTTAAACTCCGTGTGGTCGACCTCCTCGACATCTTCCTCCGTAAATCTCCTCAAAACCCGCTCGTCATCGAACTCATCATGCCCCTCATCAAGCTCATCACAAGCACCTCACGTAGCACAGACGACAAAGATCTCCACGAGAAACTCCTGTCCCTTGCTAAAAACAAGCTTTTCAGGCTCAGGGAAGTGCCGACGGAGCCTGCTCTGAATGTCGATCGGGCTGTGGAGGTATTGAAGGAGGTTCATGAGTATGCGCGCCGAGCAACGGATGCCACGTTGTTTGGGTTGTGTAATGGGGCGTCGTTACTCTTGACCAGGATCTTGAGTCATGTCAAGGAACCCATTCCTAAGAAGGAGGTGAAGAAGACACCAAAGAAGCGCAAGGTCGAGACAAAGGAGGTGTGTACAATAATTGTCGTACTGGTGTATTCTTTATGGTGCGGTCGAGATTTAATGGTTCTTTGCATTTCAGGCGCCAGACACAAAGCCCATGAGCCGCGTCGCATCAGTCTACCAAGAAACCTTGTCTGATTTTATGACCAAGAACAAAACCCGCGTCAAACCCGTTATCTTCCTTGATCTCATCAACCGGTATCCGGTCTACGCCTGGGAACTCTTGCCCTCCCTCGTAGACTTTACATCCGAGTCTGTCGATGCCAAAGCGTACAATCTGGTCCAAGCGTACAACATTATCAGCCGGATTATGAAACAGGCACCCAAAGGGGAGGATGAGGAGCGGGCCAAGGTTGTCAAAGAGGTTTTGCCCAAATTGGCAGAGAATTTTATCCGCACTTTGCAGCAGGCAGTTGACGGAGAGGTGGATGGGCCGAGGAGTTTAGGAAAGGAGAGGGTAAAGGATTTGCTAAAGGATATGATGGCGGTTGCCAGGCGAAGTGTAAAGCTGATTGATGATCAGGATGAGGTAAGAAGATGACTGCTACTTGAATTTTCTGCAACAAAACATTGTGATGCTAATCCTGGTGTTGAATGATGATAAGATTTCAAAACTGTGGCGAGCGGACGAGATACGACAAGCTTTGGACCGATTATGTGACAGTGAGCGATTCCAAGGCGTTACCTCCCTGAAGGGTCAAAGCAAGCAGCTGTTGGCGTTGGTGGAGAAGAAAGCCTAATTTGGGTGTAGATTGGGATGTGTGCACGAATTTGTATCATATGCTGCATCATGTTATTTATTTTGGTATTAGAATATATTTGTTTTGCCTAGCTGTCCACAGCCTCATTGCATAAAGTGGTACTCTACCAAAATTTTAGCCAACCCCAACGTCCCGTGGACGTCTTGTCCTCATTCCCGAGCAACTGTCTCTCACGCTCGTTGAGTAGTTTGAGTGTGTCCTCCAAAAATCTTCGCACGAGTAACAACTCGCGCTTATCAATTCCCTCCAGTTTCTTTATTTCGGCGACAGAGTCCAGATCTGCTAGCGCTGCTGCCACCTTTGCTTTTGCGAGAGTCAAGTAGCTTGCTGTAAGAGATAAAAAAAAAAGGATGGGCTGTTTGAACCGTTAGAAAGCAACAGAATGGGTATCTGAACGCTTACCATCCGCGTTGCTCCAGTTATACGCAAGATTGAGTCTGTAATCTCCAAATATCCCAGACAAGTCCAATGCGGAATGACTTTTGGCTTCTTCCGTCTCTCCCTCCTTTTTCTCCACGACTTTCTCGTCGTCGTCTTTATCATCCTCGTCGTCATCATCATCCGGTTGATACACAAATATTCCCCAATCCGCCAACAATCCTGATCCATGGCTGGCTATAAACGACCCAATCGTAACACCAGACACGGCAACTATGAGCAGTTTGGTCCATGCTCGCCAAGAGAGATCCGTGAGGTCTTCTGCAATGGCATCGAGAGAGAGGGAAGTGGCAGTTTTGTGGCTGGATATGATTTGGGGGTGGCCTTGAGTGTGAAAATAGAGTGCAGGGCGGACATGGGTGTGTACTTTAAGTGGTAATGGAGGCCGAAAACGAAACGGGAATCTTGTTAATATTCTGCTCATTGGTGTTTTGTGTTTACAGTTGGTGAGTTGGATTTTTGTCCAGCGTGGTCATGGAAGCAAAAGACGCGTCGCGTCGCGTTCGAGTCGAAAAACGCATCAAACTCGCGTCCTTTTCAGATGTCATTTGCTCTCCCTCTTTCTCTCTCTTGCTCTACAAACGTGACATTATTTGTAGGTATTTTTCATGCGTATGGGGGGCGTATGGGGGGCATGGGCAGTTTGGTATCCATTCCTGCGGGAACAGAACGGATGGGTGGTATGATGGAATGATAAACATTCGACTACCCACTGCTGCATCATTTGTTATCAGTGGTACCCCCTGCTCTGCAAAACGAAACAATGAAACGTCGACCATGGAAACACACAAGTGCTGTTTTTGAGGTAAGCGCTGGTAATCGCCTTGTAAATTGCCCCCGTAGACGAGAAAAACACGAAATCGCGTGCTTAAATAAGCAGAAGCCAAACGCGTTCTTCCAAAGAGCGGAGTTGCATTGTGCATTTATGCCCATTTATAGATATATGGAATATCCATATATGGAAATAGATATTGTTCCCACACACGAACGGCTTTGCGTTTCCACTCGACGGTCACATTTCCCCCCCCCCCCCCCAGCGTCCTTTTTCCGCCAGTGCGTTCGGACATCTCTTTTTCTCGTCGCCTGCATTTCATCACTCATCTGGGCAACAAAGGACTTTTAGTGCAACGCCTACTTTTTTTTGCTTTCTCTCCTCTTGCTGCACTTTAAGGTAAGGAACCTACGCATCGTCTTTGGTGAGAAAACGGGGAGCAGAGCGGAGTTGAATCCGGACCTGGGAATCCCCCAGGTTGATCGCTTTTGACGCGCAACGAGGAACTCTATAAAACCAGAGTTTCCGTTTTGAACACTCCTTCTACTGTCGTGTATGCGTTGCTATTCACTGTCGTGGTAGCAGCAACGTCAAAAGTGGTGGTGTCTCGCTTTTTTTTGTACGCGGTACTCATCTCGAGCCAATCTGTTTCCTGTTCAGTCACACAGATTAAAACACCAGGATGCGTGAAATCGTGCACTTGCAAACCGGCCAATGTGGTAACCAGGTATGGAACACTCTGCTACGTGCTGCTCAAGGTTGGTTACCTGTTTATTCATCATTTCTCTTGTTTTCGCACAGATTGGTGCCAAGTTCTGGGAAGTCATCTCAGACGAGGTAAGAAACGCTCTGCTGCGCAGGAGGAACCGTCCTGCTTTCAACGTATTTCTTTGCGCATTTTGACTTACAATATTCCTCTGGTGTCAAATAGCACGGTATCGACCCCACCGGTACCTACCACGGTGACTCTGACCTTCAACTCGAGCGCATCAATGTCTACTACAATGAGGCCACTGGGGGCAAGTACGTCCCCCGTGCCGTCTTGGTTGACTTGGAGCCTGGAACCATGGACTCTGTTCGCGCTGGACCTTTCGGCCAGCTCTTCCGACCGGTAAGTACTAGATTTTCCTGACTGCGCTTTAGATTCGTCGACTTAATTGGCTTATGTTATCGTGTTTTCCCTAGGACAACTTTGTGTTTGGTCAATCCGGTGCCGGTAACAACTGGGCCAAGGGACACTACACCGAGGGTGCAGAGTTGGTCGACTCTGTCCTCGATGTCGTCCGCAAGGAGGCCGAATCCTGCGACTGCTTGCAGGGTTTCCAGATCACACACTCCTTGGGTGGTGGTACCGGAGCTGGTATGGGTACCCTCCTCATCTCCAAGATCCGTGAAGAATACCCCGACCGGTGAGTTTGTTTGTCGTGTTCAGTGTATTGGGAATCCCGCTCATCCTCTCCCTTCTCTTCAGTATGATGTGTACCTTCTCCGTTGTTCCATCGCCCAAGGTGTCCGACACCGTTGTTGAGCCCTACAACGCGACATTGTCCGTTCACCAGCTTGTGGAAAACTCTGACGAGACCTTCTGCATTGACAACGAGGCCTTGTACGACATCTGCTTCCGGACTCTCAAGCTCACGACGCCCACCTACGGTGACCTTAACCACCTCGTGTCCGCTGTCATGAGCGGTATCACTACCTGCTTGCGTTTCCCTGGTCAACTGAGTAAGTGATTTAGTACTTCCGGATTCTGCAACGTATTCCGTGATATTCCGTGACTAATTGGTCCAACTTAGACGCTGACCTCCGTAAGCTTGCCGTCAACATGGTGCCATTCCCTCGTCTCCACTTCTTCATGGTCGGATTCGCACCTCTTACATCTCGTGGCTCCCAGCAGTACCGTGCTCTCACGGTCCCTGAGCTCACCCAGCAAATGTTTGATGCCAAGAACATGATGGCTGCCTCTGACCCTCGCCACGGGCGTTACTTGACTGTTGCCGCCATGTTCCGTGGTCGCATGTCTATGAAGGAAGTCGACGAGCAGATGCTCAACGTACAAAACAAGAACTCCTCTTACTTTGTTGAATGGATACCTAACAACGTTAAGACAGCCGTCTGTGATATCCCACCCAAGGGTCTCAAGATGTCCGTCACCTTCATCGGCAACTCTACCGCCATCCAAGAACTCTTCAAGCGCATCTCTGATCAATTCACCGCCATGTTCCGTCGTAAGGCTTTCTTGCACTGGTACACTGGCGAGGGTATGGACGAGATGGAATTCACTGAGGCTGAGTCCAACATGAACGATTTGGTCTCTGAATACCAGCAATACCAGGACGCAACCGCAGAAGAGGAGGGTGGTAAGTTTCTACAAGCTGTAACCTTATAGCTACGTGTGTCATGAGACTGATCAAATATCTTTTCGTTACAGAATTCGAGGAGGAGGAGGGTGAAGCTGAGGCCGAGGCATAAGCAACTCGACCGTAGTGGGAGGGAGAAAGCAAACCAGTGTAGAGCTCTTTACCTTATTATAAGTAACCAAAGTTGTGTGTCCTCTGCTTGTGGTGTCTTGAGTGTTTTTTTCAAATAAAAAAAAAGTAAAAAAAAAAAAACAATCGTCCGTCTCGTGTTGGTCAATTGCTTGGTTTTTTGCATTCTGATTTTATATGCACAATACTCTTGTATCTTCGGTACGCCGAAAGATATGCATTCCACAATATACGTGCAATTTGCAATTCGGTTAGTTGCAGAAGTCTACCCTACCGAGAAACTTGATAATTCCCAGAGTCATCCCAAACACGTTGGCCAATTACCAGTACCTTCAAACCACCTCAGAAAACCCCCCAAAAGTACGGCAGAGTACAAACAGAACCCTATTATAATCGAGAGAAACCAAGTCCAACTTCCTACCATGAATTGACAATAAAGAGACAAAAGAAAGGGTTCACGCCATTCCAAGTGCAAAGGAACCCATAAAGAAACAAACCAGTAAACCTTTCAGCCCTCAAAATATATATCGATTCCCACCACTCTCAACAACACACAAGTAACAAAAAAAAAAAGAAATCATGTACACTAGATTAAGTTCCATCATGTTTTTCTATAATTCTATCGGGGCATATCAAGCCTTCTTGCTCAAGAGACTAATGTACCACGAAGATCGTTTGGCGGGTGCGTCTGATGTATCTGTCATACGGAAATGTTAGTACGAGTTTTGGGCACCGATGAGACATCATTCGCCTTACCAAGTTGAGAAAGTTGGGAAAGGGGGGATAATCTGTTGTGTACATTAGGGGAAGTTGGCAAATGAGATGAGAGAATGGAATAAGAAGTCTAGTCAGAGATACGTACGGTTCCTGTCCTTCACTTTCACCAGCGGCCACAAACGTCCCACCCCCTCCACGAAGGGGTTTGGCGATACGGGAAGAGTAGAGCCAGCTGCTTGTGGGTTGTTGTTGGGTTTGAGCTAAAAAGTAAAGGTTACTTGTGAGCGATTCAAAAGCCAAAAGGATTGTGAACAAACACAACGTACATCGAGCTTCTTGGACTTTTTCGCGCATGGCAGCTAGCTGTGCCTCGAACTTATGGTTCTGGAGCTCCAGTTTCGTTTGAGCATCTTGTAAAAGAGTTTCGAGATTTTGTATTCGCTCGTTTCTAGCCGACAATTTACGTTCCGCAACCGCCACCTCCTTTTTCAATGTCGTATTTTGCTCCACAAGTGTTTTCTGAACCGCAGTCAGTTGCTCCAGATTGCGCTCCAAAAAGGCCATCTTCTGCTGCTGGGCTCGCGAATTGGACGTCCGGAGAATGGAATTGTACTGTTCCCGCACGTCATCCAGGGAGATTTCGAGTTCAACGACCTTTTCGCAGCGGTTTTGGAGATCGCGCATCAGCTTCTTTTTCATAGTGTCAAACTCGGCCAATTGGTGGGTCATGCTCTTGCGAATCGCTTCGATTTCCGCGCGCGCCTGCGTGTCGACGGCGGAAGATTGGTCGAGTGATTTCATAGAGTTCATAGAGTCTGTTACAGACTGGTTGTGCAAAGGATTATGAAATTAGTATGTAGCAAGGATTGACCTGAAAGACGCGGTGCTCAGTGCTCACTTTAAGATTCTCTGTAATTTTCGCTTGGTCCGTCATCATGCTGCAAAGATATTCCGTGTAAGGAGAGATTTCATGAAAAGACTCGGGCACAAACCGCCTCACCTCTGCACTCTAGCAATCTCATCGTCCTTTCTCGCTAGAAGGGTCTTGAAATCTTCCATCTCCTTTTCTTGCATCTCTTTACGGGACTCGTATGTTGATTCCAGCTTGGCCTATTGCATATATCAGTGCATGACGCGGATGCAATATTTCAAAACTGGAAACACCAACCTTCAGCTCTTCAAACATGTGAGCAACCTCCGGCCCGGCATTTTGTGTCTCCTCATGAATCGTCTTGTCCAAAAGCTCCTCATACTCTCTTTGCAAGGTCACCACCTGCCGTTCCAGTTCCTCCTTCCGCTTAGCTAGATGCCCCGCGTCCTCCTCCGCGATTTTGGTTTTCACCATTAGATCATCAATTAGTGCTTCCTGTTGAGTCAATTGGGCCTTCACGTCGAGGAGTTCATAATGCTGAGATTCTATTTCCTCGGGGTTTGTGGGAGGCTCAGAGTTTTCCTTCATATGAGCGAGTTTGGCAAGGGTAGAGCGGAGCTGCTTTTCCTTTTCGGTCATAGAAGCCTGTAATGGTGTACGATGTGAGTCTTCTTTACCTTGCTCAGGATACACCATCTGTCAGCACTTACGGATGGGTCAAACTCGGCCATCATTTGCGCCATCTTTTCCTTCTTCCGTTTTTCTTTCTCTTCCTCACTGATGGTGAGGACCGGTTGCGCGGATTGCAACTCGATGATCCGTTTCTATTTCCGCAAAGTCATGAATCACTGCTTGTAGGCCAGCTCAACAGTCGGGTTATACCTTCAATTCATCGATTTCCTTGGACATTTCTGTATTGGCATCCTTCAAGCTGTCTACGGTAATCGCGCTGTCCTTGTTCTCAAAGGAGAGCTTCTCCATTTGAAGTTTGAGTTCACCCAATGTTGTGTTTAATTCCTTGTTTTCCTGTAACACAACGTCAGGCAAAGGCGCAAGCAACATGAAGAACGTTCATATATACCTGAGCCAATGCAGAGTCATCCTTCCGCAAAGAGGCCAGCTCCTCATTCATGGCTTCCGCATCCTTCTTCAATCGTTCTAATTGGGCTTCTTTCTCAGCTAATTGATCCGACAGCTCATTCTCGCGCTTCAAGAAGTCTTCGCGCTCATCGTCTGCTATTGGGAGAGCGGGCGTTGAGGAGCGGGCTACAACATCCGCAACAGAGGGTGGAGGAACGACGGTTGAAGCACGGTCCTGAAGGTAGTTTTGAGGTGTTACCCAATCCTTTTCTGGCACTGTTCCCCCCGAGCGCCAAATGCTCAGTTCGCCCTCAAGTGCGTTGGAATAGCTTTGCAAGGAGGCAATGTCGGCTTTAGATTTTTTGAGTAAGGCTTTCAGTTCCCCTGGACTGAGTTCAGCGTTAATCTTGGCCTTGTTCTTGATCGTCTTTGCTCGCATCCCGAAGCGCAAGGTGGAGAGCGTCTCGGATTCGTTGAATGATGACGGCGAGCAGTTGATGATGAGCGTTGTTCTCGAGTTTCCACCGAGCGACTCTTGGAGGATACGCGTCAGCTTCGAGTCACGGTACGGGATGTGTGATGATTTGCCGTCCGTGAGAGCATTGATGACCATTCCCAACGCTGACAGGGACTTGTTGATCTTTTTCGCTTCTTCAAGAGTCTGTCCTGAGGCACCCGTTTTACCAACTTTTTCTGAACCAGCAAGATCGACCAATGACAGTTTCCCGACTTTTTGGCTCCCGTCGTTCAAATTCTTTTGCGTGATGGTCAAGACAAAGATGGAGTGACTTCGGGAACTCTCTGCATTCATATTTGTGTGTGCAACGACTCGTGAGCTCTGTCCACGCCGCATGGCCTCATATACCTCGTCTATCGATCCGACAAAGACTTCTAAGAGGCCCTTGACATAGACGCCTCGGGTCTTCTCTTCATGAATGGGGAGATTATCATTGCTGGGATTCAACAAATCACGGATCTTTTCCATGTAAATTTCCATGAAGGAGACGCGGACGGTAAATTCGAGATGGGGAGGGGAAGTAAAAATGGTTGAAAAGATGTTTTCGACGATACGCGGTGTCAATCCCTTCATTTCCTCATTTTCCATGTCACCCTATAACCTCGCCTGTCAGCCCCGCAATGCCTGTTATACAAAGGGGATCCAGCAATATACCATCATTGTGTGCGTCTTTCCACTCCCAGTTTGTCCATACGCAAAGATTGTTCCATTGTATCCCCTCATAACATCTAACATGCTTGGAATCAGATACCGCGTATCGTCAAGACAACCATTGCGCAGTTACCTTCTATCACAGCGCTCGCAGAATAGGCGAATACAAGCTCCTGAGTTGTATTCCAGTCGAACACGCGGTCAAAGTTGAAGGTGCCAGGGTAATCTTTACTCTGCAAAGTGTCAGGTCAGTGGATTTAGGTCGTCTGATATTGAGAACATGGCATGATGCTGTGCTCACCTCCAGCCGAACGCTCGTCATCTCATCATCAAACTGCACAACCGGCACACCACCCTCTTTGATTTCCCTCCCATTTTGCGGTCGAAACCGGCAAACAACTCTAATGGAATCTACAAAGGGAGAGTCGGTTGAGATCATCAGATATGTGAGATCTGCAACCAGTAAGAGCCATACCTCCTGCTGCCCTGCTTGGGCTGTCTGCTAGCATTTTGTTTGTGTTTTTGTGGGGATGCTAATGGGTAGGAGGAGGGTTTGAGCAAACAGGAAAGTGACGCTACAGTGAAGCAACCCAGTTACATTAATAAAATAATATCAGATCTAAGCGTCAGCTCCACTCGTCTGAACCAAAGGGAGGTGCATCTATCCGTCCTTGTACAAAAAACCAAGAGGTCCTACTAATAATATTGTAATCTATAAAAACCAAATGACAAGCTCGCAAATGTAAAATAAACCCGTAGGTGCCCAACGAACAGAAGCCGCTAGCCGTTTAAACGCGAAACGGTTTCATGCATCATAATTTTATTGCACGTGATTGCATTCATGTAACCATTTCTGGATTAATGAAGCATGTGATATGTGGATCTTGAAGTTTCTTTTTGGGATGAAGAGGTCCTGCGAATTTGGGAATTTCTGGTCATTGCTTTATGGGCATGTCCACGCACGACGAGGACCAAGATGCCACCAGCCAGTCGAGGCAGGATAACACAGGAACTACACTGCAAGAACCAACATGGGAGCAACTTTCGGACCGTATTGCAAAACGCCTGGTAACAGCGTCCCCACTAGCGTTTTGCTTGTTTCTCGGATATCTCACACCTATTAGCATCACATTCGGATAGAATTAAAACGCGGCGCTAAAAAAGCCAAGACGTTCGAAACCCGGAAACTCGTTAAAAAGCTCCGTTTCTTTCGGAAACAGTATGACCAAGCCAAAAATGACGAGAGCACTCCAGACGAGATCAAACTTCAGCGACAGAAGATGGTTGAAAAATTTGAGGCCGATGTGGAGAGTATAAAGGTGTGTATGCAAGGACCTCTAATAACCCCGGCTTCAAGGACTAGACTAATTGCATAGTACAAGCACATCAACATGGACAAGATCGTGCACAACGCATTTGCTGCCTGCCTATCCAAATCCTCTCTGCCGCACCTCCCCAACCTTTTATCCACATGGGACTCCGCGAAAGACTGGACCCAAACGGATCAGAATACTCCATCCGTTACTCGAGTTGAGCAGCGACTATCTTCCTCTGAACCAATTCGGGATGCGGCGGAAGGAGCTATCGAAGATTTGCATTGCCTATTAACCGGAGTACGATCAAAGACACGGAAGCGGAAGAAGAATCCTCCAACGCAGAAACTCTCCACTGTGTCCAAAGTCTCTGTGCAAACTGACGATGACGATGACGAGGCCGACTCGGACGAGATGTCACGGCCTGTAACGTCTGCCTTCATCGCTTCTCTGGGTGATAGCGACTCAGAGTTGGATCTTAGTGTGTCGGAAGTTGAGGAAAGCGACTACGACCAGCCAGCCTCTAAGAAAGTCAAAAAGAATCGACAGGGACAAAGAGCTCGGCGAGCGTACGTTTTGATATCCTGGTATTCCGTCTTTAGCTCATCGACTCACCGCAGCGTGTTATTTTGAACAGCCAAGCAGAAAAGCTTTATGGCCAAAGGGCAAAGCACCTCCAAAACGCCTCTCATCCACCACCAAACTCCAAACGCGCCCCTTCATCAACAACAACACAACCTGTCAAAGAAGTCCCAAAAGAGACGCTCCACCCATCATGGGAAGCCAAACGCAAGGCAAAGGAAGCGCAGAGCATGATTTTGCAGGCTGGCAAACCAAAGAAGATTGTGTTTGGGTCTGAATCCGATGAGGATTAGACCATCGCCTGTATGTTTTTTTGGACAATTATTGTACATAGAATTTCATTGAGGGATGGCGACTACGATTCAAAGCACCATATTGAAAATCATTAAACACTATGATATACACGCGAATGTGAAAAATACTCCAATTGGATAAGACCCAAACGCTTGACTGCGTCTCCCGTTCTGATCCTCCTATACTCCTTTCTTATTCTTCTCATGAGGTTGCTCCCGCGGATTCTCCTGTTATGGATTTGCCTGTTAGTGTAATTCCGCCTTTGCCAACTACATGTGCAAGAGGAAGTTAGTTCAAAATATGGTCCACGCAATGAGCTCTCCATGCTCCAGCATCCTAACCCCTCCAAACTCCGAACAACTGCTTGACACTCACTATCAATAATCCCCTTGGTTTTGAGCACGTAGAGTACAATCGCCACAACCACTAGCACAACAATCAACAAAATAAACACGATGAAGATCTTATCGGTCGCCATTCGTCTCAAAAACACACGCAATTGCTTTTCGGCTCGTTTGAGATTACTTTCCACCGTCGCAAGATCTTCCTGAATCTTGGACATCTGATTTCCCTGTTTCAAAACTTCATCTTTAACAGCCAATCCCATCTCCAACGTTTCCTCCACAATACGTTTCGTCCTTGCCGTCGACTGCTGGGTCTGCTCCTGGATTTGAATTGCGGTTTGAGTGATTTCTTTATTCGACATATCGTCGATAGTTTTTTTTTGCTTCAGATCATCGGTTTGGGCGGTTGTTTCGGCCCATTGGACATCTTGCGTTAGTTGGGCGATTTTCTGCTCGTAGGCTTTGGCTTTTTGATCCCAGGTGGTTGTTGGAGGGGGAAGTTCGCGGATTTCGACGAGGAGGGTTCTGTGTAGTTTTTTGGCGCGGTTTAGCCGGTTTTTGAGGTAGCTACATTTCTGGTTTAGGATGCCGAGCGGGTGTGGTAAGGAAAGAGTGGAGGCGGTCGCCCAGTGAATACCAACCTCATAGAACTGATATTGTAATTCAGAAACAAACCTCCATACGCTCCTGCCCTTTCAGTCTTGGTAGTTCCTTCCCCAACACATTCTCAATCTGCTCAAGCACCTCTTGCATTTCCTCATCGTAGTCGTCCAACTCTATTGTTTACTCAGTTTTGTTACATCTCGGAGTATTAAGTGCTACTTAAGCTCTGGCTTACCTGACATGACGGGCACTCAAAACTCGTTGGTCAGTATGGGTTGTAAGGAGGACGCTAATTGCCCATGCAAACGCTGAATCACAGCTGGAATTAAACAATTTGTGAGAGCGGGGTGATTACGGCATTGATTACGTAGATTGCCATCGCGACCTGTACTGTCCAGGCAGCCGTTCTCCTCAAGTAAAAAGCACCTTTTGCGAAACTGTACCAAATATCTTCGTTTTACCTAACAAGAGCGGGCGTCTATGCTGCTTCCCAAAGAAAGCACAAAACCAGAGTGTCGATAAACTACCGAGTCTATCCTACTGAGCGTGACACTGCCTACAACTACCATCAAATAAAGATATCTAACGGCACATTTTATCATAAATGTCGGCAAACTCCATGTCCTTGTCCGCTCGTGGGAGGTGGGCCCAAAGAAGAGCCCGTGTTCCTATGATCGGATAAGGTTGTGAGCCCCGCACTAACCAACACTTTATAAGGCATTCTTGATTCAAGCGACAAATACCTGCAGAATCCAACCGATCAGCGTAGGCGACCTCAGATATGTGAAACATCCAGAAATGCCCGTTGTTGCAAGCTTCCATGCAGGGTTCGCAAGGCTGCGTGACATGGTATCCGATAACGTTTCCACTATGCAGGATAATCAAGGTTTGTCGTCGAAACTGAATCTCATCAGATCGCAACATACCAGCCCAAACATGCCACATCTCGAATACGACAGAAACAGTTTCGCGTCTGATAGTCATCATTCACTAATTGAACACCTAAGAATTGAAGAGAATGTGAATTCTACCGCATATCGCTCCAGATCGTCATCCCACAGCGCACACTCACCATTAGGTGGTACATCCGTCGAAAATAACTCAATCTTAACCACAAGTCCAGAAAATTCAATGAGCATCCATCACTGATGCCAAAGAATAAACCATTCGCGTAAATCTCACATTCATATCAGCTAACAAAATAGCCTTCATTCCTCGTCTGCACACAACTGCCGTACAATGCCTGCAAGTTAATTCGCAAACAACTTTGCTTCTAAATTGAGGTCGTATATTATCATTCAAAGATCCCTCGGAAGATTGTCGTGACCACGTTCCTCGTGTGGTCGTACTGGTGTTGGTCATGCCGTCATTGGCACCCATAGAAGACGTAAAGTTCCCTCGGCGCAAAGCCATACGAGACGCCGGAATATGAAACATGTTGCTAGAAGAAGTTGATTGAGACCGGGAGGTTGTAGTGGTATAGTTTTGAGATGACTGTTGCTGTCCGACCCGCGACTGGTGTTGAACATGATGCCGTGCGCTTGATGCGGACACCGGAGGACCAGAGGATGAGCTGGTTGGAGCCGGAACTTGACCAGGACTCATCCCCGCCGTCGCTACGTAAACATATCCGCTGTAGCTGGTGTGCGCTGGATAGAACGCTGGGTATGGGTGAGATGGGGTGGCAGCAGTGAGTGTTTGGTAGGGGTAGCGGCCAGGCATATTATTGTGACGTGGGATCACAGATGAAACAAGGGATGGCGAACTGTCATCGTCTTCGGCCTCAATAACACCTGCGGGTTGATGGGCTGTGTGAAGAGTGCATACGATGAGAATGGATGCAACGGATGTTTCCTGTCATGCAAGGGTATGACATTGTCTGTGGATGGTCCATTGTGTAAACTGGCCCACAGACTTTGCCACGTCGGTTACCGGCACGTACCAGCTCTAGTACCAAACTCTCTCTCCATCAAGTGACGATGACTAGGAACGGACATAGGAAGACCAGCTACAAGTGAACAGATACAGATACCACACTATCCAGCGCTGTGTTACGAAGGTCCACCGTACCAATTCTCAAACTGGCACACACAGTGGTATTTTCAGCCGCCGCCTTGACTAACTGAACCTTGAGGGTCGTTGACGACTTTTCAAAAAGGCTTCATAGAAGGCATTATATCCTTTCTCTGATGTTTGGGTCGCCCCTAACTATCTGTATATCCATACATTGTTCTATCCTTTATTTTTAGAAAAGATCGCGTCCATCTAGGATGCCGTCATCCACACCTGTCTTGTATTCCCCCAGAACGTAAAGGTAATCCTGCCCGTCCAATTAGCGCAATTAAAGAGGCCCCAACACCTGCGACAAGGGAGAATGGGACAAGCTCCAAAGTTTGCTTACATAACCAAGCCGGATTCGCGTCGGAGGTCGACGAGTCCCCTGACCAGACGATCTAATCCACTTAGATTATTCCTCTTTCAACAAAACCATCAATTTCCTCCTCCGTATACTCTAGCATATTCGACAGAACTTCAAATGTATGTTGTCCCAAAATAGGCGGTGGAAGCCTGATGCTGGGTTTCGTATGAGAATACTTGACAGGAATACCAGTAAGCTTGATCCGACCAGCGCGCGGATGATCAACTTCTTGGATCATTTCTCTATGTATAACTTGCGGATGTTCAAAGGTTTGTTGGATGTTATTGACTGGCGCGAAAGGGAAGCCAAGGGATTTGAATTCCCTCAACCAATGTGACGTCGGATGCTGGCGAAAGATATCGCTGAGGAGATCGATCTGAACATCGGACGGGGAAATATTTTAACTGACAAACAGGAAGGACTTGCAGCTGGACAACCTTGTGTACGTGGGACATACCAACTCCTTCCGATTCTCAACACGCGCAGCGTTCGTTTTGAACTTTTCATTTTCTACAAGGTCCAATCGCTCTATCTTGGTGCATAGTTTACGGAATTGTCCATCATTACCAGCACCGACAACAATGAAACTGTCCTTTGTTGGGAATGCCTGCAGATTGCGGTGTTAATACTGCCGCGTGCCTGCGCAACAACAGCACACACCTGGTAAGGCACAATGGCGGCGTGCTGTGTCCCCCATCGTTTAGCCTACGAGCCAAAGATCATTCAACATTATTCATCATAGTGTCAAGTTTGTTGTAAACCCAGATATCTCACCTCTTGGCCTCCAATCAAATAGCTATGTGCAATATTCGCGAGCGACGCTACTTGACATTCCTATAACATTTCATGAGTCTTCCAATACAAATGGAAACACTCTCAATTTGGGTCCGCTTACAAGCAGCGAGATATCCAATTTCTGTCCGAGCCCGGTGCGTGCACGTGCGAGAAGTGCGGCTAAAACGGCACCATGTGTGTACAGTCCCGTCGTCATATCGGTAATGGCAACTCCTACCTTCACCGGCGGACCATCGGGCTCGCCAGTGATGTACATGAGTCCAGCTTCCGCTCTGCGTGACAACAGCATAGTCAACATCCATCCAACCCTGCTGCCTCGCTGACACGTACTCTGTGATGACATCGTATCCAGGAGCCTTTGCATATGGGCCATCAGGTCCATATCCAGTTATGGAGGCGTATATCAATCTGGGATTGACCTTTCGCAGGTCCTCATATCCCAGACCGATTTCATCGAGTTTACCGGGCACGAAATTCTCCACCATCACATCAGATTTGGCTGCCAGCCTCTTCAATATGTCCAGTCCCTCAGGTTTCTTGAAGTTTACTGTGATAGATTTTTTATTTCGGTTGACCCCCAGAAAGTAGGCGCTTTCCCCAGGTTGATTATCGTTCGAATCTTTGTTCGGGGCAAAGGGTGGGCCCTGATAGCAGTATGAATGTTAATGTCTTACAGCAGAAGGAGGCCAGATGTACGGACCCACGCTCGCGTATCATCTGTTATCATCAATAAACAGTCATTAAGTGAGAGCTCCTGTCGTAATAAGGTCGATATGCCTACCTCCAGACTTGGGATTCTCGACTTTGATAATCTCAGCCCTTTGTTTAACAGTAATTTGAGTATTTTCCATATTCCTAGGACGGCAATTGAAATCCTATACCCATAGTCCCCAAGAATCATGGCTGCAAAACCCGGATGTCAGTAAGAGATCCCAGTAAGCTACTTGCAGCCGCTCCGGACTTACTACAATACGGTCCAGCCAACACTCGAGTCAAGTCCAATACTCTCACCCCTTCCAAAGGCAAAGCATTGGCGGCTGCTGAGGACGTCGAGCTGTGTTGGCGACGAGCGGACGAACATAACACAGTGGGACGAAATGCGACGAGATGATGGCAAAGCCCCCTCACTGGCGGCATAAGTGGAAGGTTTATGAAGTGCATGGTCAACGCTGCGACGTGCCGTACAGCGACAGATGGGACGAATGAACTGTAAAGCAAGAAGTCGGGAAAACACAACCAGTGCAGATGTATTACAAGCGTAATACTCATTTATCCCAGTTTGGGTTAATTGCGACTTAATCTACCAGCACCAGCTTTTCCTCGTTTCTGCCGTTGTCAAACTCTGGACCCAACAATCAGGAAATGGCCCAACGAAAAAAGGCGGAGAGGAAGACTGGTTCCATTGGGGCTCGCTTACTGCGATGGGGAACAATTATTGTAACATCTTACTTGGTTCTCCTACTGGCGCTGGTTTCATACCCGGAGGTGTTCCAACCCCATCTCATATACTTGAATTGGATCCGATATCCGTCGGTTAATTGGTCAGGGGACGCCCAAGAGTTTGGTTTTCGAGGTATGTGCTGAGGCTCCGGAACTAGTATACAGCGCGAGTGTTAAGTTTCTTTCGTAGCTGGTACTGTGCGAAGCATCAAGTTCTCGACACCTGACAATGTCACTTTGGGTATGGTTAAAAGAGACGTCAGTGAATAGAGTTGAATAGACTTGACTTTCTAAGCCTGGGTCTACTATCGCTTTAGGAGCATGGCACATTCTCCCTCGCACATCAGCACCTTCCGTTCTATCGCTTACTAAAGGTGGCGCATCACCAGTCGGTAAAGAGTCCGTAGAAGACCGTGATGTCAGATTTACCAAGGCACTCCAATCTGCCGGACGAGTGTTCCTGTATTTTCACGGAAATGCAGGCAATCGAGCAACTGGCCATCGGACTGATTTCTATAAGGTAACGATCAATACCAATATGACTTTTGCAATAGGATATCTGATGCCTTCCGCTTCAGATTATCCAAGACCTGGGGGACAACACGCATATCATCGCCGTGGACTGTCGTGGATTTGGAGACTCCGATGGATATTTTGCCTCGGAATATGGCATTCAGATTGATGCTGTCGCATCGTTCGATTGGATCGTGGCACAAGGCGTGAGCCCATCGAAAATCGTTGTCGTTGGCCACAGCTTGGGGACGGGTATTGCCACGTACTTGGCTCACAACATAACTGTCTCGCGTGGTATTCACGGAGGAGGAGGACTTTTGCTACTTGCTGGATATGCATCAATCCCGGATGCGGCGCTTGGGTATGTCTGCTTCAGACGCGACCACTACATGAGGCAAGAGTTAATAGTTACTGAACTAGATATCCCATGGTACCGCTGCTGTGGCCCTTCAAGCATCACCCATCTCTCGCAACCAAAGCTAAGAGTTTCGTAGTCGAGCGGTGGGAGTCCTCGCGCAATATTCGTGATACCCACGGATGGCCAGTGCTTCTTGTGCATGGGAGCCGTGATTACGAAATACTGCCATGGCAAGCCAGGAATCTCTTTTTGCAGGCCGTTTCGGCGCGGATAGGAACCGAGGCTGTCGAGCCACCAGAAGACGCGGTAACCGCCCTGGCACCTGACCATGAAGAGGGTAGTCATTTGGAATATGAAGGATACGACATTCGAACGTTGCCTGGTCGGGAGGCGTGGCTGTGGACTCTTCGCCCTAATAAGGACGCCGATGCCGTTGTCCGTGGCCCGAAAGATATTGGAAACGTTTGGTACCTAGAGGTGAAGCATGGGGGGCACAACAGCTTGTCTAAATTCCATGTGGTACCTGACACCATTGAAGCGTGGGCGACCATAAACGGGTTGTAGGCTAGGAGGTAGCAAGAGGTTTGCTACTCATTATATTCATCCTCGTGTCGTATGTAAAGTAACCATTTACGTCCTCATAGCATGTAGGGCAAACTGACAACTGGTAATCATATAAAGTAGATGTTGTACAATATTACAATAACGTGACTGGGCGCCTGGCCGTGGCGGACTACATAAAATATAAAGCGCATTAATGTCCAATTACATACTCAACCAAGAACACAGTGAAACAATCGAAACAGATGTTGCCACCATCCTGAGTATAATCATTTTGTCTAACTGTGATGACCTCCAACCTGAAGATGGAAATGCTAGTGCAATATTCGTCGGTGTCGCGGGGGAAAGCGTGGACGTTGGAAAAACGCCCGTCTCCGTTGCTGTTGCAACCATTTGTTGCTTACTCACATTCGTCGGGTTCAGTGGGATTGGTCTCTGACGGAGACGCCCTTCTTGAGGACATATCACATCATTGACGCAGACAATGAAGGGTGGAGATTCCGCGTTACTGGCACCTGGGACACCATTCACGAGTTCTGTCCACCTCAAATCGATCTTGCAGGTAATAGTGGGGTCAGTTCCACCTGGGTGCCGGGGTGGAAGTGTGGATGCGCCACCGAACGGAATGGACAGAGATCCACTTCTAGTACTTCCGCTCAATGATTGTTTTGAGGATGCTGCCATCTGCAGGGTGAAATTTCGGCGATTTATTATTTGCCAAGCTTAGCCAGCAACTCCCAGCGACATACCTGTTCAGTGGGCAACGCTTTCAACGGACCCGACCCGAGGCCATCGCATACGCACTTCCACGATGCAGAGATGGTCGGTAATGAACCGTTCAAGGCTGGCACGTACGTATAGTCAAATTGAATACGCAGGTTAGCGATTCCAGAGGTTCCGGCCGTTGAGTTGACTATTGGTGAAGGGATATGTCCAATGGAAAATGCAACATCTCCTGCTCGCGCTACGTGATTGGCCGTATGAAAAGAACTTTCCATAGGAATATTGATCCAAACATGGAAGACTCACCAAGGTCGATGCACAGTTCAAAAAGAATGACTGCGACAAACCACGTCCGAAGTTGGAATACACGATGAGGTATCATGACGGATAACGACTTTGAATGCATGGCGAATGGCAACTGCAGTGCTCCGTCGACAGCATACAAGGATGCCAGACTGTCAACGAAATAGCCAAAGTAACCCCATTGCTATGAAGAACGCGAGAACGCGACGCGTCAGACAGTCCAAGGGCTTACGTTTGCTTCTTCCAGCCACGTTTGTTACTGTTGACAAAACTCATACAATTAAATAACTTTTTAAAGACATGACGAGTGGTAGTTTCCCTACTATCAGATATTCTTGCTATTCGTCATGGCCTACATGATCATAATCTTATTAGATTGGGTATATCGACTAGTTCAACAAACTTGGCTGGCGATCACGTGAAATGGCTGGGCGTCAAAGACTGGGAGCATTAGCCTTACCGCTGTCTTTCCGACAGAGCGATGGGTTTGGATGGGCTACAGTTCCTAGCCCTCGGCCTGCTCTTGTATCCTCACCTTCCCCAGGTCCTGCCATTCCTAGCATTTATAGGTCTCCTTTCTGTAGCTGCGTTTGGAGTCGGCTACTTGTTATTTGGGGCAGCCCAACCACCGCAGCAACCCTGTAAAATACCGTTCGTTCCTCCGGAAGCTGGTACAAGACTTTCGTATACACACCACACTTTAAGAACGGGTAATGGAGAGGAGGAATTGAGGGGTCAGGCCTCTTGGGAAGCTGGGTTGACGGTTGACCCAGGAAATCAGCTTCCAAGGACTTTCGAGGATAGCATAGCTCTCACCTTACGCGAAACAATTCGAGCCCAATTTACAAAACCTTTGTCCAGCATATTTGAGAGACGACCATCTTCAAAAAACTTACAGGGGAGGGCGTTTAACCTTCAACGGACAGAGAGAGATAGTGCAACGGGGCAAGAGGAGTCGGCTGCTAGCGACCATTCTCACGAACTGAGTATATCTCAATCCATTGAGCAAAGCATAGTGGAAACTGTCATTGATCCAAACGTCCAACGTCTCTCCTCCACATTCGCAGCTTGGTATCAAAATCAGCGTCAGCTGCACATTGATAGCCGGATATATGCACAGACTTTGTCGATTGTCCATGAACACATCAGGCAATACAAAAAAGCCAGGCGGGACGTCCTGAGGGAACATGCCGTTGCCCGCTCGTCTAAAAGATTGAGTACATCCCTGAAAAGCCCACCAGTTTTAGGAGATGACAGTCATCAAAGACATTTGGACGAGTTCATTGAGCAGGATGGGTGGGACGATGGTGCACAGCAGGACATAGGAGGAAATTCCTCCCTTCGGCATCATACTGAAGAACTCAATTCACTTATTGTCGAGCGATTGAAAGCGTCGGGTGAACTTCATCCAGCGGCAAGCAAGGGCCCAAAAGAGGAAATGGCATGGCTTCGGTCCCTTGTACAGAAGCTATGGGAGGAGGTGGATTCCATGCAGTCATTGGGAAGACCGAAGGGGACAAATTGGGCCAAGTCGGAATCCAAGGGGGCTTTTCGGACTCCGTCTCGCCTCATGAAAATTTTATTGCGAGAGTGGGTTGTATGCAGAGTTCTGCAGCCTGCTCTCGACCTGGTATGTCATCCTGAATGGATCAACCGCCAGATTTATCAGAAGGTAAGCCTTTCATCGCAGCTGTCAAGTAACAGGTCAGGCCGTAACGGATTTCCTCATATTCCGATGCAGGCAAGGCGTTCATTACTGGCTCATAAAGCAATCAAAAGCTGTCGCTCTACCTTGGAAAGCCATTTCTCTGATTTCCCGCCCGCTTTCATGCAACCTGCGATCAGTAAACGAAGCAACCGCTTCTCGCTTTCTCAAAAGTGGCGTTACCTGGAAGCTTTGGGTCCATATGCCAAGAAAGCAAGATCCACGATTGACGCCCAAGCTGTTCGTTTTCAGATAACTGCTGAAATCCGGAGAATGGTGGAAGCGGGCAAGAATTCAACGGAATCATCCGAAAGCCTTAGACGGTATATAAAAGCTCTTAAAATCCTGCGCGAGAAGCTCGATAAACGGATCGCAATATTGACTGGAATGCATGGGGCGCGCGCTTCGGTAATGGACCTTGTTTCTGATATCTGACAAATATTTTGCAAGTTTCTGATGTCTTCTCAGGATAGTTCGAGAAAGAAGTCCGATCCTGCTATCGCTTCATCGACGGGCACTGGCGACGTGGCGGCACTGACGTTACGGATGTTACTCGATGAATATATGGAGCTTGACGAGGCAAATGCCGGACTGTGTGGGTTATGGTACTTCATTGATTACCTCGAAAAGCAACACGAAGGTGGGATCGCCAAAGTCAGATTTTGGTTAGCCGCTGAAGGGTACAGGTGAGATAATATGGGTGTGGACGCCCAGTGCTTCCATTAACTTGAATAAATTCCAGGAAACTTGTTGGAAGGCTATGCAATAATGGAACGGGTAATGAGGGCGAAATCGTTGGCGTCAATGAGAGGCTGCGTAAGGAAGCAACAAAGATCTATAACACTTTCTTAGCGCCTTCTGGAGGTGATGCACCGCTAGTGGACCTTGGAAACGACATAGTGACCGGAGCGATTAGAGAGTTTATCGCAACCGACAGCACATCGGATGTGGACAGTGGAGATCACCGTTGTGTTCTGATTGCGCAAGAAGGGATTTTTAAAATTCTTGAACTTGACTTCAAGGAGTTCGTCCATTCTGAATCTTACTTTCGCTGGCGAAGTGAAGTCGAAAAATCAAAACTAACTGATCTCGGACATGGAATCCCGTCCAATTCATTCGACCCTCACATGCCCTATCGATCAGGTCCACATGTCTGGGATTTTGCTGATGTCAGTGGTGATATCAAGAAAGGAACTGTTATTCTACTCTTAGATCGAGAGTTAGAGGCAGCCGCACATAGGTTGAATGGATCACCTTCCCCTGAAGGGGAGCACCAAAGGGGCCGGTCTCCTAGCAAAGGGAATACGGGGAAGATGGAATCTCAGAGCGATGTTTCTGTTGATCTGACAATGACTCTATCCGACTCTGACGTTATGCCAGATGGAACGCATGCATCAACTGAGAAGCAAGAACCAGCAGACGAAGAGCCCGACATTCACGCTCCGGGTGAACTTCTATTCAATACCACAAAAGTACAGGAGCTGCAGGAGTCACTGGACAGCGTTTTGGCGCAGCTCAACTGTCTGAATCTACTGGCGGAACGAGCCTTGTCTGTTTCCTCTACATCTAACGAAATTGCTAGCGGGCGGGCATTTATACTGGACCAAACTAGGGAAATATTGCGCCAGGAAATTGGCGATCTGACAAAAGCCAAAGCCAAGTTCGAGAGCAAAGAGCAAAAGGATGCCATTGTTCCCGGACAATGCATTGTCAAAATCGAGGCAGCTGTAGACGATGTTGTGGCTAAGAGCATGGAGGAACCAGGAAAAAGGGTGACGTTCTACCTCGTTCAGGTCAGCCGAGATTTGGAAAGTGGATGGACTGTCCGTCGACGATACAGGTGGGTCAACTCGAATATAGGCGATGTAAGAATCCTTTAGTTATGCACCTTAATCCGCAGTGACTTTGATGCGCTTCACCGCAAGCTCAGCAAAGTTTTTCCGGCTGTCAATGAATACGATCTGCCTGGAAAAGTCTTAGGTTTCCTAAAAGGACGACATGAACTCAAGCAGGCTCGAATGAAAAGCCTGGAGCGATATTTGCAGGTAATTTGGAGAATCATTGGAAAGACCAGCATGTTGCGGAGGACACTAATCCTTCGTCCTCGCCACAGCGATTAGTAGACAATCCAGAAATTGCGCGATCGGATGAACTGCGCGCGTTCCTCTCATCATCAAACGATAGTTTCCGACACACATTATCACCGGCTGCATTCGGCGGCAACAAGGAGGAAGGCTCAACTCTGCAACGCACATCACACAGGCTTGCAAAGTTTATTGCTCCAAGTAGTCGTACGGCATCGTCCTCCTTGCTTATCGCATCGAAAAACATTAGAACCTTTTCCCAGAGCACAGGGGACCTGCGGCTTCAGGACGACTCTTTTATGCAGTCTACCAAAGGCATAGAAAGAATCGGCCAGGAAGGTCGAAACCGCTCAGCGACTGACGTCGGCAAAGACCTCGACTATGACCATGATGAGTCAGAGGACGATGAGCTCGATAAATCATGGGAGTATTCCACCGAGGAAGGGAGGAACGTAGGGCAGGGAACAAATGATATACCTGCGCATGTCAGTCTACTTGGCGAACCCCTTTGTTTTCTTCTTATGGAAATATACGAGTTCAGGGAACAGAATCCGTGGCTACGTCGAAGTGCTGCTGCCATGTTGATCAGACAGAGCTTGGGGGGTAGAGATAGTCTCGATAGGTAAATGCTATTGTGCATTCACAGCCAGATGGACGCCACTGACACCGGTGCTTAATGGTAGTCAGCTGTCTGCAATGCTGCGTAACACCAGCTCAGATGAAAGTATTATAGGATGGCTGAGTGCGTTTCGGAAACGGCTTCGATCGGCAGGAGAAAGCGGGCAGGCCCCAGTCTTCCAGGAATTGTTTGAAAAAGTTTCTCCCCAGGCAGAAGAAGATGCGGGGGCAACGAGAGCGGAGGCTAAGGAAAAACTGATATCAGCGTGGCCTGGTATGGAAGTCAGTCTTATGTCAATCACGTTCTGCGCTGATGATTACCCTGCTTAGCGGCCTTTACTCGTGTGTTGGGTGCAGAAGCATCAGTCCAGGGAACGAGCAGACTTTTTGATCTTCTGCAAAATGCCACTCTCAACAAGCATTTGGCGTATAGCTTGCTGGACGGACTCATTACTACAATATTGGGCGATACTTAGCACCTGCCTGTGGTCGGCGATGAGACCAAATGGTCACTTCTACGCTATCTTGCACAAAAACGCCATGGCCATTGGTGACGGTCAATTCTATAACCAGGGCTCCTTGGCAAGCAACTATTATTAAATGGTAATTTATGATGCTTGCATGAGATTGAAGAATGGATAGTTTATAAAACTCTACATGGCCCACTGCTAACTCCGACATCTACACTTAAATCTTGTCAACCTTGCTTGTAATGTCCGGAATGGCCTGCATTTTCGCCAGGTACGTTAGATAGGGATAATGAGCGAGAGCGTCAGAATAGGATCATATACCTTGAACAGGTCATCGACGAGGCCGTAATCTGCTACTTGGAAGATGGGTGCATCGCCATCTTTGTTAATGGCAACGATGCACTTCGAGTCCTTCATACCAGCCAAGTGCTATAAGAATGCCAAACGTCAGTGACGAGATGTTTCATCATTTGTCCAGAGGTATAGTAGACGCACCTGAATAGCACCAGAGATACCAACGGCAATGTAGAGTTCGGGAGCAATGATCTTACCGGTTTGACCGATTTGCAAGTCATTGCTAACGAAACCAGCGTCAACCGCCGCTCGGGAGGCACCAACTACCGGAAATCGCAAGATTCATATGTAAAACGTCAGAGTACCAAAATTTGGGTGTTGCAAACGTACCGGCAGCTCCCAATTTATCGGCAAGATCGTACAAGAGTTTGAAGTTCTCGCCATTTTTCATACCACGACCTCCTCCGATGACAACTTTTGCGCTGCCGAGCTCAGGTCGATCGCTTTTCGCGATCTCTTCCTTAATCCATTCTGTGGGAGCTGCAACGTGTGATTGATGTCTTAGAACCGCCGCCTAAGGAACAGATGACCCATGGTACCTACAAGCAGTGTCTGCGGATGGTGCAGATTCTGTGGACGCGGAACCGCCGCTCGCCGCAGCCGGGAATGCGGTGGTACGCACAGTAATGACTTTGATGGGCTCCTTTGACTTCACAGTTGCAACGGCATTTCCTGACAGAATGGCAAACCCAGTGTCAGGAGTACTTGGCTGCGCCAAAACCATGAGAATTCGCTGCCCTCACCAGCATAGATTGGTCGGACAAATGTATCCTCTCCCTCAACCCCGATGACATCCGATACTTGGTTCACATCCAAAAGGGCGGCCGCTCTGGGTAGAACGTTCTTTCCAAATGCACTGTGTGGTGCAACGACATGCGTAAAGCTTCCGGCCTTCGTGGCTGCTACAATCAACGGTGCAAGCGTTTCGGGGAGGGCATGTGCGTAAGCATCATGCTTAGCTACTAGAACCTTGTTGACCCCCTGCAGGCCAGCTACAGACTTAGCAACTGCGTCGGGAGCAGAGCCGGCGACCAGAGCGGTGACAGATCCACCAATTTTCGTGGCTGCCGTAATGGCATTCAGTGTGGACGAGGCAACCGCGTCATTCTTGTGTTCGACAAGAACGAGTGTACTGGCATTTCGGCTCGCCGCGAAACTTCGGAGGCTAAGCTGATATGAACAACAAAGTGGAATGGAACACACAATTATTATCAATATTTGGAGTTATCTGTCCGCAGCACCAATACAAGATCTACAAGTATCGGCAAAGCAATGCAAAGAGCACATACCTGGTTAGCAACAGCTGCACGCGACCGCACCGAAAGAAGTGAACGAGAAAACATTGGTGCAATGTAGGTGATGACCGCCGAACGAAAGATGCTCCAGACGTTGCTAACATCCAGTGTGCTGCATGATGGCGATGGTGAGTCACTGTTGCCATGACAAGCGGGATGATTCGGGCGGGCACACAAGCCTTTTATTTGCGCTGGTGGAAATTTGGGCCATGACACATAGGAGGGAGGAAGGAACTCCTTCGGAAGGTGGCCATGCAACATCCTCAGAGGCGACGGAACTTCCTATAAAGGTCGGAGGACCGACTTGGTATAGCGATGCGGCACAATATTGGGACCAAGTTGAACCAACAGTGGAGGGCATGTTGGGGGGTTTTGGGCAGTTGACCGACCTAGATAGCACAAGTTCGCTTCGATTTATTGATGAATTTATCAACGGAAAGAAGGGGCCAGGTGGAAGGATTGTTAAACCACCGCGTATTGGCAAGACTCTGGCTTGCGGTTTGTATTTTACTAGATATCTCAATCGACGCGTATCGTTTAAATATTGAAGCGCCAGATTGCGGTGCGGGAATCGGTCGAGTATCGAAGAACTTTTTATTGAAAGCATTTGATCGTGTCGACTTGGTAAGCCGTAACCCGAAATCATTCATGTGGTCGGTATATTGATACCCCGCTCAATTTTATAGGTCGAACAAAATCCCAAATTTCTCGAGGAGGCAGAGGCTTCATTCCTTGGTAAGGAATATGCTGCACGGGTCGACAGGTTTATCCCAAAAGGATTGCAAGAGTTCTCCCCAGAGGTACAGTAATATTTTTACAAAACAGGACTCGGAAGTTTACAATAGATCAAATATCTTAATTAAACGGTTCAGGAAGGAAGATACGATTTGATCTGGACTCAATGGGTTCTTGGCCATCTAACGGACGGTAGGTATGTTTGATCTAGCAAGTCTCGAGTTGATGAACCTAATGGCCTGTATGTCGTCAGATGATTTTATCGCCTTCTTCCAGAGATGCAAGCAGGGATTGAAGCCAAATGGCTTGATTGGTGTGAAGGAAAACGTGACCTCCCAAGGTGTTGATGTTGACAAGGAAGACAGCAGCGTCACTAGGTAAGTCCATGAGCCAACGTTCGCGGTATGGAAAACGTTCCTTCGTAATGATCTCTCCTAGATCTAATGCGATACTCAAAGAACTGTTCGCAAAAGCTGGCCTGCGTTTGATTAAAGAAGAAAAACAAAAAGGCTTCCCACAAGGACTGTATGGCGTGTATATGTGAGTTACAGAGATATCTCTCAGTGTTTGGCATGTCCGGACACTCTGTGCATGAGCCAGTCCGGTAACCGATGTCTCCATCACGTAAGGTATATGCTTGAATAGGCTTCCTCGGACGTATACATGGTCCCCAGGGTTTGGTTTGGGGCTCGCCCACCATGGAAAGCGTTTGTGACAAGTTGACAAAGAGTCATTAAGCAAGCCGCTGTGTACACGTACGAAAAAAGGGTTTCTGCTGCTTTCAAGGGTTGTTAACTCGTTAGCACATTGCACCCGCCATATGTGATACCGGAATATTGTCGTTGGTCATTGTTATTTTACAGTCGGCTCCGCTTTTCGTCAGTATCATAAGAATTAGAATAAGAACTACTTGCAAGTGCATATAACGAGACTAGGAGGGTCTGCGTAGCATCTACAATGCAGAGTCCTTCCAGACTGCTTCCCTGCTTCTGGGCTCTGTTGTCTCGACCGCCCAACCTTGGGAACCTCTTGTGCTTTGTTTACCTATGCGCTGAAATGATGAACGCTCTGACGGCAGCAGAATCAGGTCGCGAGCGCATATTGTTGGGCAAATCGCTTTTGGACCTGGTTCACTCAGAAGATGTACCAGGTCTGTTAAGTGGAAGAGCTTTCGAGGAGGAGAGGTTCCCTCGGTATGTACCGCTTTTTAGTTGGTTCACAAATTTAGAATAAATCTATCCTTATGCACGTCCAGGTTCAGGCTACGGAATTTCTTGTTCGCTACTACTGATGACCCCCTGCTGCCACAGTTTCTATGGTTAACTGCTTCTGTGACACGCATTTCTGCAGATCTAGTTCTCGCTTTCTTCCATTTCGCACATTTCAACGATATGCACTCTGTGCAACCCTCATCGCGACTGCCATTCTTAGATCGTCACCTATGCCGGACGCAATGTGCGTGGAGACCGGAAGATACGCAGAGGGTGGTGACGGTCATGGGCGGTGATCCCAATGTTCAAGGGGCATTCGATGTTGAGCAGCTGGCGGTCCTTCTTAATTTGCCTCGTGATTCACCATCCGAGCGACCAACTCAAACCAGTACACGACTGGCTGTATCAGGCATTTTAGGCGATATGATTTGGGACGCCGCTTCGCGTACGGCGAACTCGGTGACCCTTGTGTCTGTTCCTTTTGTAAGTATTTATCGTACATACAGCTCATGGGGACTACTCATCGATTCTTCCCAATGCGATGAAACTACCCATCAGTTTTTGACCCAACCAAATCTCATCTCTGCCGCGTGGAGTCCAGTCGAGTACATACTCCTGACACAATGGTTGCAAAGGTCAATATTTTTGCAACCGCACTTACCTGAGCAGTTTCACACTCGACACAGCTACCAATGTGAAAGTCAATTGTCTCAGCATTCGCGCCGTTTTGTACTGGCGTCATCTCTGGCATTCCTACATGGGGACACACTACTGATAATAACACATCTCGGGTCAACACCAGGTCTCGCACCCGTCCGACCGCTGTTCAGTCCGCCAGTGATTAACATGCAAACTCCTCTTGGCGACCCGATGAGCAGTCTGCCTTCCGGAGATCCGCTTTCGCGACAGCTGCTTCCCGAACCCTAAATCGGTCGCTTGAACCGCCATTACCGCCGATGCAAATGCGTTCTCATCTGCCCTCATTGCCCCCGATAACAGAATTACTCTCCTATGTCGGAGAAAGCTGCTCAGCTCAGGATGGCGGTCAACAAGGTATACCTGTTACAGATGTGTTGTGATCCGGCACACCGCCTATCAGCTGATAGTAATTTCCAATTATCAAAGCATTTGAGACACCCGCAGACAAACGATCCGGCGAATGGCTTACGTTTGAGGGTCCCCGAGTTATGAAGTTATTGCAACCCCCGTCGATACCTTTACGTTTACCCACGCCCGAACATGCGAGAGAGGACCGCCGTTCGTTTGCAGGACGAAGCGACTTTATGGATCGCTTCTGTCGGTCTTGCGATCCGAGCTCAAGGGGACTGAGGAAAAACTCGTAAAGATGCAACTCTCATTATGATCACAATGACATATCTGTCTAACATCAGCAAACACTGGACTATGCAGTATTTGCGAAGCATGCGGGTTTCTGATAGTATGATATGCTGCATATTTTTGTTACCCTCTGGTATTATACGCTAGATCATCTTATGTGTTAGGTGTGGTCGCATAATATGGCCCGTGCATGCTATTTGTTCTTTGTTTATTTTCATGAGTTCACGTGTTTCTCGGATCCAAACCCAACTTGGTCATGTCATGCTGCGATCTCTAACATGACTTTGGAGCATGGAAGAGTTGGAAGTACTTAGGGGCTTACACGATGCCCTTCAAGCAGTACGTACCATTGTCGAATTATATGACTTGGGGGCGGCGTTCTTTTTATTCACCTAATGGTCCAGTGTGTCGACGATGACCGTGCACTCGATGCCTTCTTCAAACATCTCCAAGATTGGCTGGCTGACCCAGGCCGCTTCACTCCCAGCCAGCAGCTTGAGTTTTTTGAGACGCTACGTGGGTTGCTACTAACGTCGGAAGGTTACGCGAGGGTATGAAGGTTCAGTTTGAGGGATCGCCAACGGCGGAATGCAACCTGTAATAACAATACTCGTTCAGCCGGTCCTAGTAGAACATGGTTGGGAGGTGGCAAGACTTTTGGGCCCATATATTGCCCCTCCGGAACTTGACCTTGAGGGCAACGCCGAAAAAGTCAGTGACATTTCAAAGCTCTTGCTTCGAGGGATTGCAGCAGAATGCCATCCTCGGGAACTTGCGATGTTCTCCTTGGAATACGTCAGCGAGCTTCGTTGGGATTATGCGGAGGATTCAAGTATGCTATATCACAAGATGGCAGTTTTTATGGAATTTGCAAATGTGTGGGTTAAAGGTACGTACCTGGTGGATGTTCAACAGGGTGGATCCAATTCTTACATCACCGCCCGGGCAGCTATTGGCAGGATAAAACCGACCCGGCTTTCGGTCTTCATGCAGAGCGCTTTGCCAACGATACTCCGGGCCGTGGAAGTCTGTGATCATCTACGCAGTGTAACTTTTCCGGCGGAGACTGACAAAAGGTAAGGTGTGATAAGTAATGCCATATCTTCGTCTCATAATTCAATGACAACGCACTTGCAGAATTTCCAGTATGCATGATGTCCTCTTGCGATTCTATCTGGATGTATTGGAAGAGCTTACTAGAGTGGTTGATGAAGTGCGAGAGGTAAAAACGGTAAAAGCCTGAATTGGACATTGAACATATTAAGATCTCCTATCCAATGCAGCGTGCAGATGCAACTGAACAGGAGCGTCAGCGGTTTCTCTTGGCATATTTCGTTTTTGAAATTTGTCGAGGAAGCGTGGCAAATCTCCCTCTTGCGTTAATGGAAAGCAAAAGCCGACGAGCGGTCTCTTATTGGGGAGACCTGCATCGTCTACTGGTAAGGCCTCGCCACGCGGATGCTGCGAAACAGGACTGCCTTCCTCATTTTTCTAGGCTACAGGTCGCGCCATAGGGCTAACGCTGTCGACCTTGCTAAGCGCCAAATGTGGTAAGTTTATGATGTATATGGGTCGAAGCATAGTTATCATTCTTGGTCTCTGACAGTCTAGTAAGGCAATTCCAAAGCTGTCGGCGTGGATCTACAGTGGTCATCCGTTGGACGCTCGATTTTCATTGTCTTGGCGATTGTTCAGTACACTTTAAATGAAGCTGCGGAGAAGTCTGCCGCCGAGTGTGGGGATTCCCCCTTATTTTTGGAGAGGCTAAATTCGGAATGGCTGTTGACAGCACTGCAGACTGACATACAGACATTGATCAGCAGGTACCTGGACGTTCAAAGCTACTCACAGCTGCTAAAGACCTGACACTGATTTTATACATTTACTAGACCAGAGCAAGTAGATGCTGAATTGGCGGATAAGGCACTCTTCGCACTGGATGTCTGTATTCAGAGAGTACCACGTGAGAGCTTAAACATGACCTCATTTGAGGCGTCAACAAATGGGACCACTTTAAAGGAGCTTGTTCTGGTGAGAAAGACTAACTTGCATTACTTCATATATGATGCACTTGCTTGTGAGCCCAACTTACACTTTGGCTGTTTAGTCCTGTTTGACATTCATGGCTTTAACTCCACATCACCAACCACGCGCGAAGTGCTTCGCCCTTTTCAAAGAACTCATTTGGCGCTTGGAGGAAGAAGCCCGTGTATCAGTTCTGGTTCAGATGCTAACTGACACGCCTTTGGTAAGCGTGCAAATTGCAGCCCTCTCGATATTGAAGGACAATGTACACGAATGCTGGAACAGATATGATCCCGCGCGGCCGCTCGACCGGGTGGACCACAAACCGGTAAGTATAGGAGGTTCCGTTTTAGGATTGGGTGGTGCTACCGTCTCTTACTCGATGAAAATTAGAGGTATTCGCTCTTTGCAGGCCCTTTCCTAACAGAAACATTCTTGTCTGTGCTTCTCGATCCAACCTCCATTCCTTATCGAGCGATTATGTCCGCTCATTGCAACATTTTGAATGACGACGATGCCTTCTTTGAGAAACATGGATTGGTCATGCACACCCTGAATCTGTATTTGTACACGTTGATTAGAGACAAGCCGGATATCAACAAGGTAGGTTCCATGGTGGATTGTGTTGGACCTTGCGACTAGCTAAGATGTAATGGACGTCAGACCGGATTATGGACGCACGCTCATCTGGATTCCACCATGCGTCGTATGATCAAACCTCTTCAAGATCGGGTCATTGTTCTTCAAAAGCAGGTTAGCAGAAAGTTGGCTACAGTTCAAGATGATAATCCAGGAGAAACGAAGCAAGAGGTTGTTATGCTAGGTTGGATGCATAGCGTAAGAAAAGTTTTACTAAAACCGGTCTCACAGGATTTATATTCGAATAGCTTTTCACTCGATCTCATGGATGATGTCCTTGGTAGAGTAGTGGATCGCATGAACACAGGACGAGCTGTGTTGGATGACATGTAACTTAGTGAGGATTCTTCTGGTGGCCGTGGATAATGCTTCTGCAATGTGGACGAAGCAGTAATCTTTACAATCCTCTGTGAGTTGAGGGGGGAGTTGAGTGAATACCGTTCCAATGTATATATGGTTTACAATCGCATTGTGTCAAGGAAGGCGCCATGAACGTTCACGATATCGTGGCAGCTGCGGGATCTTAAATGAATTGATTACGTTCCAACCAATTGATTGGTGACTTGTTTTTTGGTTGAAGGTTGCTGCTTTGCGATCTCTTTCCAAGAAGCATTTTCTTTCGAGGGTCTAGTTCGCGGTCTTGCCACATTAGAATATATATCTATACCTTTTGTTTCTGCGCTCTTGCTGAAGGGATTTAACTGAGAATGCTCAGAACAGTGTGAGTTTTCCGTGAATGCAAAAAAATGACCGACCAGAAGGGTTGACAGTTGGACAACAGGAAAGCTCGCACTGCAGCTGGAAAGCGTGCTCTAAAGAAACGTGAGCCTCAAACTATCGAGGAAGCCAAGCCTGCAGTGTTTATTAAAGGCACTACAACGAGCCAGCTCGTAATGTCGGTCCTTAAGGATTTGGTAGGGTGGCAATATTTGGTATGCTGTCCCCACAAACTTGCCTGTAACTTCTCTGATTTTCAGTATTCGCTCAAACGCCCGGATGCTGTACTATTTGGCAAACGCAATGAAGTCAGACCTTTCGACGACCCTCGCCCTCTTGAATTCTTCTCTCAAAAGAATGATGCTGCACTATTTGTCATTGCAAGTCATAGCAAGAAGAGGCCTCACAACCTTGTGTTTGCGCGAACATTTGACTACCAACTTTTAGATATGGTGGAGGTCGGAGTGGAAAAAGGGGTTCCTATGGAGATGTTCAAAACGACGAAATCCGCAGTTGGTCATCGACCACTACTTGTCTTTTCTGGGGATGCGTGGGACTCTACAGACGAGCTCCGCACCCTCAAATCCATCCTTCTCGATATGTACCGTGGGGCAACCAGTAACGACATGGTAAATTTAGCGGGGGTGGAGCACCTTATTTGCATTACAGCAGAGAGTGCACAGAAAGTATATCTGCGGACATATACGATACAACTGAAGAAGAGTGGAACACGATTACCAAGGGTAGAGTTGGAGGAAATGGGACCTGCTTGTGATTTGGTTATCAGGCGTTGTAGGACCGCAGACACGGATCTGTGGAAGGCAGCCACTAGGGTGCCCAAGGAGCTGAAGGTAGGAAACTGCACATGCACGTCGCCTTTCATTTCTTTGGTTCGGATTACTCATATGCATACACCGCGGTACAGCCTCAGAAGGAAAAGAATATTGAACGGAATGAGCTTGGTGATAAGATGGGACGAATTCACATGCACAAGCAGGATCTCGGAAAGCTGCAGACAAGGAAGATGAAGGGTTTGAAGCGAGGTCCTGCAGAAGATGAGAACGAGGATGAGGAGGAAGGACAAAGCAAAAAGCGAAGAGAGGATTGACTGTATATAGGTGTGGCTGATGACTGATCGTCGTTATTGATGCTTTGTATTACATTTTGTATATTTACTTGCATAACTTAGTCTTGCTCGTCTACATTTAAGTACATTATTGAAGCTCCATCCTACAATCGCATGAAACTCCAGATATATTTTGTAAAAAGTCCACCCCCTCGAAATAGTTTCCAATAGCTGATCACCACGGAAACTGTCGATACTACTACCTTTCTCCATGGTATATAGCTTGCAAGTGATTATCTATCGTAACGGCCAGACGGGAGAAAGACTTCCGAGCCACCACCTTCTTGCGCAACAGGCCCTTTTATCGACTGATGTGCAGCGTGCTGAGGGTGTCGAGAAGCATATTCACCTCTATATCCACGATTGTAATTTTGGCGTTCTCGTCAAATATTCTCCAAGTCGGCGGACAGCGTTTTGTCCGCCCATTCATTTCGGAGTTACAACCTCGACTCAACTTCCGCAGCGATATACAAGTCAAGCATAAGATCCAGCCCATTTGAAAGTCCCGGCGGTCAGTGCAACTGGCGCATCCTACTCCGGGGTTCGCGGTCCGGCAACGGTTTCAATTGCCTTTTCGGCAAACTCTCGAAATATAGGTATTTGCTCCATTGCCTGGTCTAATGCCTTCTCTGGGTCCTGCGCCGAATCAAGCTCTTTTAGAATCTTCTGTAAATCCACGTTTGAGAGTATATCACTGATATCCTTGGACGCTCCTAGGAGACGCATGAGATGGTTACGGAGCAGGCATAAATCCAAAACTTAATGCCTCCTAACCTAATCTTCCCAGCTGCTCATCCGTCAGCAGACTGCCTTCCTCATCCATATCTTTCAGGGGCGCACTTACGGGCTCTATTACCGAAGTTAACACACTGTTAACATGGATTTTCCATATTGGCTAGTAGTTGGTAGTTCTTACTTTCTTTAGGACTTTCTTCAGAAATCGGAGGGGAGCATGGTGTTTCTAAACAATAGCTATGTCTAGTAATAGTCCCAAGGATGATAGAAAAGTAGCGCAAAAAAGTATAATACCTTTATGTTTTTTGTAACATGCCAAAGAGCAACTGGAACGATAGATCAGTACTGCGACCAGGCAGGCTTCGTAGTATTCAGCACTTACTATGGCAGGATGCAAGTTGAACACTTGTATTTTGCAGCCTGCTCTTTGCAGACTTGGCAGGCTGCCTTGCCATGGATCACGGACATTGTTATAGATTACTTTCAGGAAGGTCAAGGTGGAAAGCGCAGGATCTGGGTTCTGTTGATTCACGTGATCTTGCAGAGTCTCTCAAAGTCAGCTACAGGCACCAATGCATGATAGATCTTCGCAGGATGAGCAGACGACATTCGCAAACACAAGAGTTCCCACACTATGACGCTAGCCGGAAGGAGCTGCCTATTTACACTTACCGGGAAGAGTTGGTGGAGGCAATGAACCGATTTCAGTGCCTCATAGTAGTAGGAGATACAGGTGGGCGTGTCGTTCAATAGTAGCGTCGACCATCCACACACTTATCGTGACTTGACGTTGTCCGGGGCTCACGTATTTAAAGGCAGCGGTAAAACAACACAATTACCGCAGTATGTATTGGAGGCCTTACCGGAAATTCGAAACATTTGCGTCACCCAGCCGCGGCGAATTGCTGCGATCTCGGCTGCCCGCCGTGTCGCCGACGAACGACGGACGCGACTCGGGGAACAAGTGGGCTACTCGATCAGATTTGAACGTTCTGCATCGTCTTCTACACGTCTTCTGTATGTGACAGACGGCACTCTGTTGCGATCCGTCGCTGCTGACCCTAAAGTCTCGGCATACGATCTCGTAGTATTAGACGAAGCTCACGAGAGATCGCTTGAGACAGATGTCCTCTTCGGCCTGTTACGAAGAGCATGCAGATTGCGCCCCGAGCTGAAGGTTGTTGTGATGAGCGCGACCCTCGATATTGATAAATTTTCCGAGTTTTTCGGTGATGCACCAGTCTTCTCCATTCCGGGACGTATGTACGCTGTGGACATTCTATGGCAGAAGAAAATGAAATTGGGCACCGCGAAGGCCACTTTTGTGCGAAGATCCGTTGATACCGTCCTACACATTCACAAAAATGAGGAACCAGGGGATGTGTATGTACTTCCCACTCAGGTCTGAACGGACGTCATTCTCATGCCGGATTCCAAGACAGTTTGGTTTTTCTTACAGGTCAGCAAGAAATCGAACAGGCAACCAGATTACTGCAAGAAGCCCACGAGGCATTGGACTATGTAGAGGTGCGGCATCGAAGTAGAGTACATGATATTGCCGTGTATCCTATCTTTTCGGCATTGGAGACACTCGAGCAACGTGCCATCTTTGAAGCAACTCCGGAAGGTGTAAGGAAAATTGTCTTCGCGACAAATATTGCCCAAACCAGTGTCACCATTCCAGGTATCCGGTAGGTTGCCAGCAGGGTTTTGAATTGTTCAACCAGGGATTTATGTATGTCGCCAGATACGTGGTGGATTCAGGGTTTGTGAAGCAAAAGATGTACGATGCCCAGACAGGCGTGGACGCGCTTGTGGTTGTACCCATCAGTCAAGCTGCTGCAACCCAGCGCGCAGGTCGTGCTGGCCGGACAGCTTCTGGAAAGGTGTACCGTTTGTACTCTCGTGAGGCTTTTGAAGACATGGAACCTGCAACCGTACCAGAGATCCAGCGCAGTTCTCTTATCGGGACGGTTCTGTCTCTAAAAAAGATGGGCATCGATGATATCTTGAACTTTGAGTTCATTGATCCACCAGATCCAGATTTGGTGGTGGCAGCTATCAAGCAGCTTTTTTTATTGGGAGCTGTAGATGAACACGGTCATCTTACACCGCTTGGCCATCAAATGTCCGAATTCCCTATTTCACCTTTCCTTTCTCGCGTCCTTATCTCTGCTGCTTTAGATTTCAGTTGTTCTTATGAAGCTTTGATTATCGCCTCGATGCTGTCAGTGGAAGAAATCTTCGCTACTCCTCGCGGCAAGAAAAAGCAAGCAGCCGCTGAAGAGTCCAGGCGGCGGTTTGATGACCCTAGTGGGGACCATTTGACTCTACTTCGCATATTTCACGAATGGAGGGACTACGGGTACTCAAAAGACTGGGCCTTTAGCAACTTCATACATTTCCGTGCCTTGCAAGCAGCTAGGAAGGTCAAAGAGCAGCTAACGGAAATAATGGAAAGATTAGAATTGCCTATTGTTACGTGCGAGGTGGATGACCGGGAGAGGGAGAAGAAGCGCTTGCGACGGGTAGAAGACCCTGACCATGGCAGAATCAGAAAAGCTGGAATTTGCGACTTTGGGAACGGCCGGCATGTGGATTCCACGCCTATCTTACGGGCTTTCTGTACGGCATTCTATGTACATACCGCGAAGCGGCACCCACAGAGACCAGTGTTCTATCCGTACGTTACTTCCATTGGGGCAAACGTTCCAACAGGACAGCAGACGCCAGGGGGTTCGGGTATGAGCAGCGCTCATCTAATGGCCCTATATCTCCATCCACAGTCAGCACTCTCCACTGAGGACATCAACCGGTTGGACTGGGTCATTTACAATGATATTCAGTACGTCAACCGAGCAACGATGCGTGTATCTAGCAAGATACGCTTTGACTGGGTCGATGTTTTGATGGGGAGACTCAAGGTCGTCGATGAGGAAAGATTAGCGGGTCGAACTCCTGCGACCCGTGAAGGTCGGCGGCCGTCTATTATCAGCGCTGTGGGAGAGGTTGACAGTAAAAGTGAAGAGAACGAGGAGAATGATGCGGATGGTCAAAGGGAGAAAGAGCCAGAATTTGAACTTGTGCATGAGGTGATTGATGAGATGCATCGGGTGGAAAGGGCTATTGGGGACGAGGTGGGCAAATCTGCTGTACACGTGGGGCTGCAGCATAATGGACATGGCGGCAACTCATCCACAGGACGACGAGTGTCGCTGGGAGGCGGGGAGGGAGGGCTTGGGGATTTGCACAGTGAGAAGGTCACAGAGAATGCGGACGCGGAGGCGACTAGGAGGGAGAGTATGGTCAACGCTGCAAAGGAAAGATATCTAAAGAGGAAAAATCGACGCTGATTCCACAATGTATATTTTATCAATAGCTTCTATATAGTTGTAGCTACTACACTTCTGGGCTAGACCGAGAAGCATGAACCGAAACAGCCAGTGCAGATAAGGATGCGTTGATGTTGGATACTGGAACGAAAGTTATGAAGTCTCCTTGGCCGCTAGCAGTTTCCCATTTTACCGCTACTCAGTGAAGACATGCTCTCAGAACCCAGAGCCTCTGAAGGACCTTGACAACTCTTCCTTACCTTTTTCGATCCAGGCCAACGGAATATTGCAATGGTAGAATACTCTTATCGAAATCACTTCCTTCACACCCAGCGTTCTCTCACTCACGCCGTCCAGAATCTCGCTCAAAGATGCTAGCAACGTGCGCCAAGCAGTCGTCAGAATCGATTGCGTGAGTGGAGTTGATAAATCTATAAATATGCAGCAAAACGGTACATATATAAGCGGAGGGTCTGTGGACTTAAATATTCAAGCATGTACCTCTCTGTCCACAAGTACCAACGACACAACCCAGGTTGCCGCGGTGCCAACTCTGTACTTCCCAACATATATCTGCATCTACCGAGGATTGAGCTAGCCCAGTTGTCCACGGTGAATGAGCGAGAGGTTCCAACATTCGTAAAAAAAAATCAACGACTGGTATACCTTGCAGATATCTTTCGAGGACCTCTATCACTGGCTCTTCATGGTACTCATCCACCAACGACCGTCGCGCAGATCTGTTTCCAAATAGTACTTGCCATTCGACTTTCGCATTACGTGGGAGACCAGGAACCGTGACGAATACCGCAGGAACCTAAATGAATTGATCTCTCAGCACTAAGAATGACAGGCCTCCTTCTCACAAAACAACACACCTGCGGTCCTACGCGCTCTTCCCAAATCTTCCTCGCTACCAGACCGAATCTCGCGTCCGTGACATAGCAGACACATGCAGCAGCATCTCTCGCCACGTCGGCACTCAATGCAACTACGATCCTCTCCAGACTACGCAGAGATGTAGTTATCTCCTCCATTAGACCAGCCATAATTCGTCTGGTGGGGTCCACCGATGTCGCGGATGGCAGCTGCATCGTATTCGGGATCAAACCAATTTGACCGGCTACATATATATGATCGGAGACCTATAGGAACGCACACAAAATGTCAATTTGGGCCACTGTTGGTAGTCTGCAAAGGAACAAACCATCGCTGCCTGGCTGTAAGGTCTGGGAAACCAGGAGTCAGTTTCGCTTCCGCAAGATCATTTTGCTCACACTACTCCTTCTCCCAATACTTACCCAATATTCGCGGGGCTTGTTCGTCGCGGTAAGTACAGATGTTCGATTAATGACAATCCAGCGATGGTCGGCAACGACATGACCTACGCCCAATATGATACACTTTGTACGTGCAGGGTCTCCTTGCGATGGGCTGGGTCAGCATACTGATAGGCAAGACAGTCAATTTGCACCTGGGAATCCCCCGGTAATGCAACTTCCACTGTCACCCTAAGAAACATTCAATGATAAAAAACCACGAAATACCACGCAACAGCGTCCCAGCCTACCTTGGAGGCGGATTGAGCCCGAAGTACCTGTTATACGCCGCATTCAGTCGTCCAAAGGCCGACATGTCGCGCACATACACATGCATCATTACGACATTATCCCAAGTCAGGCCGCATGACACTAGCTGACCTATGGGAGATACGGTGGAAAAACGTTGGATCAGATGCGGCTGACGAGAGAATCTAGCCTGATTATCCACCTTGTAAATAATCCAAAATTATGGTCGTTTCTTCCTCCAATGTTCCCTGAGCTTTGTTTGGAGTGACATTTTGCACTTGTATACCCGGTATGGTGAAATATGGCGGCCTCCAACGGTTCTCTGGTCGGCAGCCTGATCAAAAAAGTCATTCAACAGTTCGGATGAATCTGGGTTGAAATGGGCATGAGACTTACGTAGTGGAGTTGCTGACTGTTCTTTGTCAACGAGGAGATCAGATGACATTTCTTGCACCATCAAACTTGCCTGTACTCCAAAATATGACTATGAAATAGATACGACCTTGAGGGATAGACAGTGTGTAAGCTCATACCACTTCTTTCGACGGACAATCAGTATTGGTCGTTCTCCCGTTGCTTAATAGCATTGCCCGTTGTTCTTCGGTTAGTCCTATGTCCTCAGGTGCCTTATCTTCCACATGTGCCTTTTTGATTCGTAGATATGCGACAACCGCCACTGCGTCGTCAGAATGGATCACAGTTTCAACTTCGTCGCTACCAAAGCAAATTAGTGAGTAGGAGCGCAGTTTGTAGATGATCACAACAACCCTACAGGATAATTCTTTTAACAAATAGCGGGCAATCGCGCGTGAAAGATTCGAATTCCCCTCCCTCTCCGCAGATATGAGCATCAAACCGTTCGTGCTGACAAAAATTATTTAAAGTGTCATTCTGTGGTTAAATGACGAGTTCATTGACCGCCCGTAGAAAGATACCATCTGCAACAAGTGTGGATACATTTCGTTCAAGGTCTTCCCCAAGTGGTTCCGCTTCAACCCTTTGAAGGATCAAGGTGATGGGTTTGAGGATTGCAGAAGATGCATTGAACATCACTTAGCTCACCCATGGCGGCTACTTTGATCAGGACAGCATCTAATCCGGACTCGATCATCTCTTCCAGGAGCTGTTTCTGATCTCTACGCCATAGGTAGGCGAAAGATGTCAATCCGAGGCGCGAACATCTGGAGAGACGACACTCACGTCAAACTCTGAGCAGCAAGCATTTGAAGATGACACTGTGGATGGTATCTTTACTACTTATTAAATATCTATTAATACACTTACACATTCTCTACCCTGACACGTTGATAGTTTGACAAGATCGCTCCAGAGGCAACCCCCTCCACATCTGGAATGGCCGCCTAGCATAGGAAAGAATAGGTCGCATACACGCAAAATTCAGAATCAATGCGCAAGATAAACCACCGCGAATCGCCCTGCTTTCAATTCTCCACTCCAATTCCGATGGACTTGGGCTCACGTATTGACCAGTATCAGATGCCGTGCATCCTTGGTCTCCCCGCGCTTGACGACTTGATTTTAACCATTATCTTATCCTACCTTGACCGCAGAGAGCAGCTCATACAGATCTTCCACCTCATCATCCACAGTCGGTCTGTAATCTGCACCCTGCGCTCGAGCTTCTCCCCTAATTTCGCGTCTGAACAGTGGAAGATTCATGCAATCGCGATAAAGCTCAATAGCATCATGACCGACAGTTTGATACATATAACTGTCCAATTCGTCTGCAAGGCTCCCGTCAGGTACTTGTTTCTCCCAGCTTCAGACCTGCCATCCAAAATGAGACAAATGACTAGTCACCTTTGCCGGTTGCCGCTGCAGGCTTCAAGTTCGCCAAAGCAACGATCTCGTGCCCATTTGCAACGCAATGCATCATATTGAAGCAGCTGTCCTTGCCACCACTGATATAAAGCTGTTATAAAACATCCTCTTTTACTTACACATGGCACCCCGTACCTTATGAGGGCTACAACCTTCATCTGTACTAGGAAAGGGGGAGTGAAATCTGCAAGATCTGTTCATGCGCAAGCCCAACGACTAGCCAGATCCACGGCTCGAACCTAAGCCACACGTAAAACACGTGCAGGGACTGATTATCGCATCGACCAACCACCTCGCCCCAATTAAGACTCTGTCGGCTATACGGCCTTCTCTTTGGTTAAACTGCCATAATACATACGGATGACTTCAACTATACATATGGAGATCGCTAAGATAGCTATACTTGGAAGACGCAGGCCAACGGTCTACTATAGAATTATAAGCGAATTCAAAAAGTCCCTCTATCGCTGGTTCGTTGCAAAATGCGCGGCGAGTGCATTCAGTTGCTGAGGGGTCAGTGCGATTTGCGGCTGTGTTTGTAATTGTCCTTGTTGCTGTTGTTGCTGTACATGTTCTGTTCCACTGGGTGGTGCGTGGTGATGTTGTTGTTGTTGAAAAATCTGTTGTTGCTGGTGGTAGGCGATCGCATATGCCATCTGCTGGATCGCCGCCTGATTCGCCGCTGCTGTCGCCTGATCATCCATATGTCCGGCTGCCCCTGTCTCGCCATGAACCGCACTGTCCGCTTTGCTGGGCGGGAGGGATGCTGCCCGGTCCAATTTGATTGACTGAAAGTATATGAGAATTGACTTTCCGTTACTGACGGGGAGGATACACCTACCTCTCGATATCGGTGTAAATACACTTTCATCGTTTCGCAATAGTTGTCAAATCCAAGCGACTGCATTGCCCAGAGAATGTCTTCTCCGTTGATTGTCTTTCGCTTTTCGCTGATGCATCGATCAGTTGCTGATTGTCTATCGTGTTATTTTCCACGGCATTTTCCACAGTGAACAAGTGTGTACTTTTAGACCCGCACCTTCTGACGTGATGAACGAAATAAACTCGCTCACACACTCCATAATGCAGTCCTTTGCTTCTTTGGCTATTTTGCTGTTGTCGGGAAGCGCACGTTTCATTAGTCTAGCTACATTCGCGACGGGCAAGAAGCGATCTTGCTCGCGAGAATCCTCTGGGTCTGACATGGCGCCGTTCCCGCTGTCGGGCATACTGGAAAGACTAGGACGTCTCTCCAATAGTGTTGCGCTAGCAATCCCCGAGGCGTACCACGAGAGCTTGCAACTGTCTTTTCGAAAACAGTAGAATCGGCTTTGGCGTTTCAGAAGCTAATGCAATCTGACAAAGGCTGACCCGAGCCTGTCAAACCACCAAGCGATCGTGTCAGCAGTGCTAAGCCCACGTGTCGGATGACAACAGTGTCGGTGTTTCTATTTGGCTGTTTGGATGAACTTCCTTCCTCTGAAAGGCCGTACCAATGTCACTTAACGGAGCGCAGCTGGATGCGGAAAACAAGCCTATACTTGTGTCCGGAGAGAAGATCTTTTTGAACCAAGGTGAGTGTTGCATATTCTTAATTGCCGTAGTTCCTTTTAATGACTGTGCTCGCAAAAGATGGCGTCCGGCTCGAGTATGAGAGTGGAAAGTAAGCCTTTTCGCCTTCTCACCCTCAGTGGGCGGAGTAGACCTTACTTGCTCACTATGGGATTTGCAGTGGATATCCTGGCCAGGGGAACAACTTTTATTCTCAAAAGGGAACCCTGTTTTTAAGTGGGTATTGGGCATTGTGAAGTGGTCTCGATTCCTAAGCTCACATGGCCGGCATTTGTTTAGCAAATAGAAGAGTTATCTATGTTGCGCGCCCCCATATGGATTTCTTTCGCAACCTGAACGTCCCATTACCGAACTTGCGGTAGGCACTTATGTGACTCCCCCTTCAATGGCGTTAGGTACACAATATGAAATAACATGCCAAACTGCCTTAAGGAATGGGAAATTGATACAGCCTTGGTTTGATGCGAATCGCTACGAGGCAACGGTTGAACCGGTAGGTCGTCATACGTGAGAAAGATCAGCGGACGTCCTTTCATATGTGGTGCGAAACATTTTTAGGTGCCCAACGGGGGCTTGAACTTGGTGGGACAGGTTAAGTTTACGTTTAAAGAGGGCGGCGGATTTGAATTTTCAAGCATGTCGATGCAACTACGTTCAAGACTTACTGGTACAGTACCCATTAGTTATTTCTGCGAGCTGTCGCGCCTCTAATCTCATCCTTTATCGCATAACCTCAGGTGAGACCCTGCCTCACGAAGAAGCCTTACCCCTATACACACAGGAAGATACTTCGTCATCAAGTGGAGCGGGCGCAGCATCTTCATCATCCTCTGCTCCTGCACCAGTCGCCCTTCCAATCCCACTCCCCCCTTCGTTTTCCGAGCCAGGCGCGGCACCACCAGCAAATGCAAATACCCCGCTGGAAGCCCCTCCGCAATATGAATGATATGTTGAATGTGATCTAGTCGGGCTCTTGGAGTGTGATTAATAACTTGAAATGCTTATTGTATGTTGTACTATCATTTACTGCCTTTAATAAAAAAAGAAAGGGAGCTGGGCGCTAGAATCGCCTCATTATGGCTGCATGATGGTCCGTAGCATTTTCTTATTGCAACAATTAGGGCCGTGGGTATGCAGGTGCGCCGCCGCGTTTGATTCAAACGGTGTAGCGCTCTATTCACCAAGGGTTCCATTTCGACTCCTCCGACAGCGTAACCTTCGGTACAAACCAATCTACCAGATTGTTTCCATCTGCCCTCGCACCCAACAACGCTTCCGCATTGCTGTCGCCCAATTTCTCCTGATTTCATCCCAAACCAGCACTCATTCACATACACTAGTCGCCTTAGTGTTCAGGATCAAACTAACAATAAGTCCATACAATCCGAGCACTTCCGAGAAAATAAGTATGAGGACCATTCCGACAAACAGCCTAGGTTGGTACAAGTAACCCCTCACACACGCATCACCGACAATTCCAATAGCGTAGCCACCACTCAAGCCAGCAAATCCCGTGGCAAGTCCAGCGGCAAGGTGTATGAACCCGGCAAAAAGGGAGTAATCTTTGTCGGGGCCTAGATCGTTGCTGACTAGAACCGAGACCACGAGGCCATACACGGCAATAATACCTATGATTGGAAAACAAGGTAAGCGTGCAATTTGGGATCCAGTAAAGTATAGCGACTTGGGCAAAGTGTTCCAAGTTGAAGAAGTATCAATTGGCCGAGTATCGAGAAGGTCCAACCTACCAGCCATAACAACGGGAATCAAGCTCTTCATCATTCTAGATTGTGGGAACCCCGTCACGAGTTAGCCGCAAACATTCGAAATAACTGACAACAGACTACAGCCAGACGACACTCACAGATCAGGTCGGAAAGTACCCACTCCCGCAATGCCAATACCGGCCTTGGCCGTCCCGTAGGCTGCTCCGACCGCCGACAAAATCATCGCCGACGCGGCTCCCCCAAAGCCAAAGAAAGGCGCATATACCGGACACGCTTCCGATGTAGACATACGACGTATAGTGTTGAGCTGTAAGGTAAAATGTTGTGACAGGCCTGGAAGAATGCCTTTGGTGAGGTTGGGAGGAAGGCGTGGATGTCGGCGTTGAAATCTAGACGAGTGCGTTCGTGGCAGATGCGGGGGGCTGTCAGCAAATCACGTGACTTGGCTCTTTGGAATGCTATCGGGCAATGGCTGCAATATGATACAAATCCCATTCCGTTGAAATCAAAAACAAGCCATAAGACAACGGACAATTGTTCACATGTAAAACAAGGGAATGAAGATGGTGCATATTATGCTCTACAAAAAGTACTTTTGCTTGCCGCAGGTATATCGCAATACTCGAGAACCTACAGACTGGCCCTCCACTTCGAACAATTTTCAAAACTCCCAGATTACTGAGGCCAATATAACGCGAGCCCCTAAGCCCAGATCTAAAAGGATAATGTGGACACATCAGTTTGATGAGTCTCAAAGTCCAGGGCAAGCAATTATTACAAACCTTCAACAAGCTATCCCAACTGCCTGTGCACAATGCCATTCCATCGGAAGACACACCAAGGCAAGAGACACGGTTCTCATGAGCGGCCAAGACACCAACCCGCTCTCCCTTCAAAGTATCCCACACGTTGCAGTTGAAATCGTCGTAGCCTGCAAAGAGCAGGCGACCAGAGATGGAGAACGCGACGGATGTAATACCGCAGAGAATATTGTCGTGAGTGTACTGGTTCAACTCGCGATCGGCACGGAGATCGAAGAGACGGCAAGAGGCGTCGTCGGATCCAGTACCAAAGGCGTCACCGTTGGGGAAAAATCTATGGCACAAGGGGAGTGATGATGTGAGGAAATGTACGATTGAAGTGCAAGGAGCGCGAATTACACTTACTGAACAGCGTTAATATCAGACTCATGACCAGTGAAGGTCTGCACACAGCGCCCCGTTCGGATATCCCACACCTTGGCCGTAGCATCACAAGCTCCAGAGACAAAAATGTTCTTGTCCGGTGAGAGAGAAAGCGACATGACGTCACCCGTGTGATCGGTGAATTCAAGAGTTTTCATGCCCGCGTCAATGTCCCAAAGCATGCAGGACATATCACCAGAACTCGTAAGAATCTGACGATCGCTAATGAACCTACAGCAGGAAAGATATCCGGTATGCGCGCTGAGCTCGCGTGCAACCTTGACTGAGCCTTCTTTTGTCTTCAAATTGTAAATGGAGCAAATATTATCCAGACCACCACAGGCGACGTAATTGCTTGAGGGCGCGTAGGCGCAGGTCATCACCCAGGAAGAACGGAGAGGAATCGCGTGGACTTTGTTTGTGGTGTAGGCATCCCACACAATAAGTTTACCGTCCTGCGATGCACTCACTAAGTGTCGCTTGTCAGAAGCCCAATGCATGGCATAGATTTTTGCGAGATGGCCCTTCAATGTGCGTCGGACTTTCATTACTATCCGAGGTAGCGGCTCCAGTTCAGCGGCAACAGCCTTGACTGTAACGATGGTCAGTCTAAGTCGATGACTATTTTCTCATTTTTGCGCACAACTTACGTGTTGTATCCGCAAGAGCATCCTTCTTTTGCTTGATTCTTTCCTTCAAGGACTCGGCCTCTTTCCGTGCCGCAGCAATTCGTTCAGCAATGTCGCTCATGTTGCTATAATATCTAAACAATCAATTCGGAAAGATTTAAAACCTAGTGCTCAAGACCGTCCGAGCGAAGGAGGAGATTCGGTATGCTAAAAGCGACATACCGTGTTCAAGGAGATTATGGAGCGTAAGGTGCTCCTCGACGTGAAGAATACCTTTTATTGCGAGCGCAGCAAAAGTTGTAAAAAGTTAGCAGAAAGCCAAAACAATATATGCAAGTCGCTAGCAATTGCAGCTTTGTGTCTGCTCCGGTATGGCCAGTAATGCAACTAGAGTTGTTCGCAACCAGGGCTCCCAATCGCCGCCCTCCACATCAGGTCCACGATGGCGCTCTCTATGGCACGCACGGCCCGTACGCGTTGCGGGAAGCTTACACTTCTGGTCCCGAGTCTGCGGCAACAGCCATCGTCAATATTCCTCACGCACGTCAAATGACTAGTACCTTATATTAGTTTGAGAAAAGGAAGGGCGTGAGAGATGCGGGAGGCCGCGAAATCTCCGACGCAGGCAGGGAGGGCGGTGAGGGTAAGGTGGTTTTCCAAAACAGGTGTTCTAAATAATCGTTTGGAGCGACCTTGTCCTGTCAGAGAGACCAGAGGTGGACTTCTCTGACGACTATTGGCCCGGAGGGGTTTGAGCGGAGATTTGGATTGGAACGGTCAGGACCCAGTGGCTGAACGATTTTGCGGACAGGGGAGTTGCTAGGTCCTCTGGCTGGCCTGTATTTCTGTACGGAGGATAGTGGTGGACGTGTCGGGCAGCACGACGGTACAGGAGGGATGGGCAGTAGGGGAATGAAAATAGGTAGGCTGAATCAAATCAAGCAAGTTGGGTAACCAGCGGAGTCTTCTTTTGCCAAAGGGCGGGCGCTCCAGTCGGGCCCAACATGCGCGTTATTGTATGGGTGGTTTAGCAATGAATTTGTGTTTGACTAAAGCCGCCTCATTTAACATTTCTGGAAGCTTTTCGTTTGTTTACTTTGGGTTTTATTTTCGTTTTTTTAACGTACTTAGGATTTTATAAAGTGCTTTTAAAGGTAGAAAGGTTAGATGGAGGAACGAACGTATGGCGTAAGTTGGACAAGATTAAAGGTCCATCATCGTGACTTTTAGCATCGCAAGCGTAGATGTAACATCTTCATCCAAGGGACAATTCCCGTAAGAGATGTTCGAGTTCTTTTCCGATCTTCCGTTTCTACTTTTTGCAATCGGAATTCATGCGAGAAAATGACATGAGGTTCAATGGCATTGAGTCTGTTGAAAAAAAGCCGCCCAGAAATTGCCATGCAAACCATGCAAGCAGTTTTCCCAATAAATCTCCGTGAATAGTTACCCTAAATTCTTGAGACGCCCCAATCTCTATCCAACACTAGACCTTTTTCATTCATCCTTATAAATCATCCCCAAATTTGATCAGTGGAAACCTCACGCATAAACGATTTAGAATATCAAATTCGGCGAGTGGGTTCCCGCCAAAACCTTTCAGCAAATCCCAGCAAAGCGGGTGGGAATAGGGAAATCCAAAAAAGACTGCCGTCATCAGTGTTCATATCCCGACAGGCCGTCATCATAATAGGAGATTTCCGAATTTCTGTCGAAGCTCCTTTTTTTATTGAAGCTGGGCGTCCTGGTCGCATTACACGTTCTATTGCGGTTATCCTTATCGTTTTCTTGCTGCGTGAGCCTTCCAACATGGGCAAAATATTCAAAATGGATGAGCTGTTCCGTAAATATGAGGTTGGGCAAATGCTCGGGACGTAAGTAATCCAATGTATCTATGACTGTGTTCAGAGTTGGATAGGGAACAAAAGTTGTAGTCAGCAATGGAGATTCTTGGTGATGGGCGAATACAGTCGCACTAGACTGGACGACATATCTGCAGCAATACTCACCGTATTCCTTCTCCTCTGGAATAATTTTCTTGGCCATACTCAGTGGGGCATTCTCTGAAGTCCGCATCGGCGTCGAACGTGGTAACGGCAAGAAACATGCCATCAAGATCATCGACAAATCCAAATGTAAAGGGAAGGAAGGCATGATCGACACTGAAGTCAAAATCCTCCAGCAAGTCCGGCACGAGAACATCATTCAGCTATATGAAATGTACGAGAATGAAAGCAAGATTTGCCTGGTCATGGAACTTGTGACAGGGGGTGAACTCTTTGATGATATCGTGAAGAGAGGCAAATATACCGAGGTTGACTGTGCCCGGATCGTCCACAAGGTGTTGCTAGCTATCGACTACTTGCACAGTTTGGGAATTGTACACCGGGACCTGAAGGTGGGACGTTTGCGGGTGAACTCAGACTGTACCAGGCATAGTCAATGCTCACCTTCTGGACCCCTATCATAAAACTTAGCCTGAAAATCTCTTGCTATCCGACAAATCCAAGCGTCCAAAGATCATGATTAGCGACTTTGGTCTATCCAAGATCTTTAATGATGAGGAGGTTATGAAGACTGCTTGTGGAACACCCGGTTACGTCGGTAGGTGCAGCCGATGGGATTGGTCTTCTGTTTGAATTTGAGATTTGATCAAACTTCAAAAATACGCAGCACCGGAAGTCCTAAGACGCCAGGGATATGGCAAGGAGGTGGATCTCTGGTCATTGGGTGTTATCACCTACATTTTGTGAGACCTATATCATTTTGGCAAATCGACACGAGTCAGGGTACTGACATTGTTCGTCTTCATCTGTAGGCTTTGCGGATACCCTCCTTTCTACGATCAGAACAATGTGGAGCTGTTTAAACTGATCATGGCGGGTCAATACAGGTTTGACCATCCTTGGTGGGAGCCAGTATCAGACGTTGGTAAGTCCCATCGTATATATGGAACGGCTAAGAATAGTTAAAAAGTTAACGTACTGGCCTACAATTCGCAGCCAAGGACTTTATCCGCAAACTGTTGGTCTTGAATCCCCGGGAGCGAGCAACGGCGGCACAAGCGTTGCAGCACCCGTTCATCACACTGAACTGCGGTCACACAGCTCCTCCACAGCCAGTCCCAGCCACGCCAGTAGACGAAGGCGTGGAAAAGGAAGCAAATAACCTGGCTCCCAACGTGAAATCCAACCTACAGAAGGTGTATAGTTCCAAATCTTCCTTCAAGGTGGGTATAACCGACAGTGGCGACCTAGGTCAAATGCCCTTGAGCGCTTTTTCGCTCAGATTGGTACGTAGAGAACTTGGGCATGAGATAAATTCACTGTGCCTGTCGGCCTCCATAGATGATTCCGGCCTATTACCGTAGCTATTCGCATTGCAAATGGGGCTAATACTTGCATCATAAAGCAGAACGACGGAACAGGACCAACCACTGACCCGGTCACCATCCCTATGGATGTCGAAGATGACACGCCGGGCCGGCCACTTTCTGACAAAACCGAACTTCATGATAGTGGGATTGTGACGAGTCGCGAATCCGTCACAAAGGACAAGAGTAAACACGGAAAGGGGTTCTTTAATCGGTGGTTTGGTAAGACCAACAAGGTTGCGGCGGGTGCACCAGAAAGATCGGAGCGCAGATCCGCATAGTGTCATTGTGCTAGCCTTTCTCATGTGTTTTTTTGGGGAGACTGTTACCTTCTGAGGGGTTGAATAAATACCGTTCCATTTGTGGTCCTCAGTCCATTTTCCTCATCCACATCATTCGAGTCTTGGATGCAAAACCATACGCTCATCAGAGTTGCGCATTGACCTAGTATGGTATTCTGTGCACAATATGATATTATACGATATGTGTATGCATTCGCCCCATGCGGCGGTGTCAGGCGCATATACAATATTATGTGCAATTGATCAATTCCCGCATTCCCTTCACAAGATATGTAGACAGCTCCTAAGATGCATTCGACCTGTAAGCTGCAAGCCATCGGAACACCGTCTTCTTCACATCGCTAAATCCTAGACGCATATATGCATCACGCTCTGTAACCCTGGACGCTCTAATACCTCCATCCAGGTACACTGCATTCTGCTTTGTGTCTGGCTGACAACACTAATAACAAGAAGCTTCTCAGAGACATGCATTGCACCATATCATTCTCCAAAGATTGATTATACCATCAAACTTATGTGCGTTGCCTTCCTCCGTTGAGAGGGCGGTAATTGGCCCAGCACCAGCTTCAGTGGAACTTCTCCCGGTCCGCGACCTGTCACTGTGTTCTCCCGACGAGGAGGTATTTGTCATATCTTTTCCAACCTCGTCCCTCTTTGGAGTTTCAGCAGACTGAGAATGGGCTTCGTCCCACACCTGGTCGTCACTACAACAGAGGTTCTCCATCGTTTGCTTCTAGATGTACTGGCCTAAAAGATTTCTTTTTACAAATGTGAAACTACGACGAGCACTGAGCATTGTGTCATCCAGATCATGGCAGAGACCAAGGGTTTGCTTACGCACATCAGCCAAGCCTTAAAAGCCACGTCCCAATAAGGATAAATCCATTTTTTTGTTTTTTGAGTATTTAAACGGGCCTTTCCGACTTTCAACCATTTCGTCTCATCTTCCAACTGCACCATGGCTGCCACCAACCACCCCAACATTAAAGATGGATGGTTCAAAGAGTCACAGACTCTTTGGCCTGGACAAGGTTTGTTTCAAACATTATATGTTCTTCACCCGGTGGCATCTAGAGCCAATCTTTCCAAAAGCAAAATTAGAAGGGCCCTGACCGTACGTCTTCCCCGTACTCTTTTCAAGCAATGACACTTCAGGTCAAGGAAATCTTGCACCATGAAAAGTCAAAATACCAGGACGTGTTAGTTTTCCAGTCCGCCAACCACGGTAACGTCCTGGTTTTGGATGGTGTCATTCAATGTACGGAGCGCGACGAGTTTGCGTAAGTGGGAAGATGTGGTCATTTTGCAAGGACGCAACTGAGGCAGTTCAGTGTCTGAGCCTAATGGGATGTTCTTGTATACTCAAACCCACGTTGCTTATAGGTACCAGGAGATGATTGCTCACCTACCGTTGAATGCTCATCCCAAGCCGAAAAAGGTAGGCATCTACCCCAATGCTCCTGGAATGGGTCTCGCGTGAAGGTTGCGTGATGACTGCTTTGCCGCCCCAGGCGGAACAAATAGTGTCGAGAATACAAGCGTTACAACCCATTTGTCTGATCAACCTTTACCGAGATCTATTGCATGATATGCGAACACAGCAATCACCTTATACGAGTATCTAATTCATCTGTTCATTATCTTCAGGTCCTTGTCATTGGGGGTGGTGACGGTGGTGTTTTGCGTGAAGTCGTAAAGCACGAGACAGTAGAGGAAGTAACTCTGGTGGAGATTGACGAGGCCGTCCCCAGGGTATCCAAGAAGTTCCTCCCTGCCATGGCGGTTGGTTTCCAGCACCCCAAAGTCAAAGTTCACATTGGCGATGGGTTTGCATACCTCAAGGAGAACGAGGGAGCCTACGACGTTATCATCACCGACTCGTCCGACCCCGTTGGCCCCGCCGAATCCCTTTTCGGCGAGACCTTTTATGACCTGATGCGTAAGGCATTGTTGCCTGGCGGTATTATCTGCACTCAAGGTGGGTTTTAACAGTTCGTAGACAGCGATACAAACAGCAATGATGAGAAACTTCATGCACCACTCTCAAGCCTTTGGGCTGAGGATGAGAAAATGAATTACACCATAGAAATCTCTGAGCTCATGCGACGGGGGAGTTTAATGATTGTAGTGACATAAGCTTACGCAACGTTTCATTTATAGGAGAGTGCCAATGGCTTCACCTTCCATTGATTAAAACTGTGCTCGACAACTCGAAGAAAATCTACCCAGTTGTTGAGTATGCCTGGGGCGCGGTGCCAACATACCCATGCGGACAGATTGGCTATATCCTATGCTGCAATGAGGCTGGGCGGGACCTACGGACTCCCGCCCGTTCGTTCACCAAGGAATTTGAGGCTAGCAAGCTCAAGTACTATAATGCTGAGGTGCATAAAGCCGCCTTTGTGCTTCCTCAGTTTACAAAGTCGGCGCTTGGACTGTGAGTTTTGATGGGCTGTAGCGCGAAGTGGTTGGGATGTCTTTTATTTTCTTGTATATTTTCATTTGCAATAGACATGTCGTTACTTATTCACACCTGTCTGTGTTGGGCATTCGTAACTACCCTTTTTTCTTTTCGTACATGCAATCTTTGAGACAAGGTGGATCAGGTTTTCTGCAATGAGCAACAAATGTAGTCGTCTTGATTCAAAATCTGCTCTTCTCCGACTGGTCGTTGTAGTGACAAAGTTATTCTAAGGTTGAACAGTGGCTTGCCAAGATGGTGGTGACGGAGTCGTGTGGCTTGCGCCTGGTTGATCTGAAAATTTGCCAAGCGTTTCCAGGATGGCATTCCACAGCAATGGACGATGCTGCAATGACATTAAAGCAGCTTTCTCTCCTCGTTCTTGCTACTATCCTTATACTGGCTGCGAGTACAGCTGCATTTGATCCTACTGTACCCACCATTCCTCTATCCCCAAACACTACGTTTACCTTACTCCCACTCACCTGTACACTTCTCACGTATACCCTGCCAGCAAACCATTCTCTCTCCATCTCTCTTTCGGTATCACCACCTATTCTGGCGCTAGGGTACACTATTAATCCCACCGATGTTTGCCGTAGTCCAGATACGAGTGGAGTGCCAGAGTATGTGCAAGTCTTAAACACGCTGACAACAACACCGACAGGAGGAGTATACAACCTACGGAATATCACAGCAGAAAGATGCTGGAGAAAGGATGTAACACTGCGTATATCAGCTGCTACTGGATGGAGTGCAGCATATGGGCGCGAAGGGAGTGAAGTCCCCAAATCTGTGTCGATTGGAGCTATCGAAGCTGCAGCGACTGGCAATCGGACATGTTTGCAGGTAGATGGTACCAACCCGACTGGGACGACCGATAGTGCGTCGGCAACTTCAACCCCTTCATGGGGGCTGCTTCCTCCGCCGCCCGGTACAAGGGTCCGTGAGAACGGAGCAGAGTCTAGCATTAGATCAACCCACTACATTGCTATTATACTGATGCTCTCCTGTTTGGGGTACCTCCGATGATGAGAGATTTGCGTCAAAACCTTCTCATTAAGCTTACTGGTGACTAGAATTACTAGCATGACTAGAAACCTATGCCAGAAGCGCTGGGCGTTGTGATAGACTATCTTTTAAAGCTTGTAGAAATATAGAACATGACTGTGCCACTGACCTTGGTCCGCTCGGCATCTTGGAAAGTCTGGGAAGTTTCAACTGCTCCAAGGCGCGTGTTGGCGAGATCCATCCCCAAAACGTCCCGTCTTTTTTGCCATAATGCCGCCATCAAGCGTATCGCGATGGGTTTTTCTAGGGCTCACTCTTATGGGTGTCCTATGGCAAGCACAAGTCGCATCTTCATTTTATCTCCCTGGAGTTGCACCTCGCGACTACAAGAGTGGTGAACGAGTGCCTCTGTATGTGAATGCTTTGTCGTCACCCGATACGGTATATCCTTGTAGTCCTGCTTCTGTATAGCAAGCAAAGACACTGACTGTTGAATTGGGGAATAGGTACTTCCGTATGATTACTACACCCCATACTTGAAATTCTGCCAACCAAAGGAGATTCAAGGGAAAAGCGAGTCACTGGGAAGCATCCTTTTTGGCGATCGGCTGAAATCGTCGCCGTATGAGGTAAGTACTTGTTCTGTATCCTAGCTGTGTCTATGCTGTTTCCACCGTTGCTGACAGAGGGTTCTAGCTGAATATGCTACAGAAAGCGACCTGTGTCGAACTCTGTACTGCCGTATATAAAGAGGAGGATGCGTCATTTGTGGAAGGGCTGATTGAACAAAAGTATTTTATGAACTGGTGTGTATAGGCATCTGCATATGGGAGACGACGGGGTTTTTAAATACGAAGTTCTTCAGGGAAGTCGATGGCTTACCTGCAGCCAAAGAAGAGCGAGATCCAAAGACTCAGGAGCCGTTTTACGAAATTGGCATTCAGCTTGGGTCTGTCAGCGTGGTATGTCAATGTCTTGATAGTACATGCGCATAAGGACACAGCAGACTAAAGTAGAAACGTGATCAGGAAACAAAGTACCCATACTCTAGGGCTTACCTCAACAACCATTACGACATCACAATCAAATATCATACCGAGGATCAAAAGACATATAGGGTGGTTGGAGTACTTGTCACTCCATACAGGTGGGGTTTGGTTGCATGTGAACGCTAGTGGGGGGCGGCCTTCCTCACTGTCTACACGTGAAATAGTGTTGCGAACCTTAAAGACCTAAACTGTGGAAAAGATGGAGATGGTTTACCTACCGCAACAAACTACAACCATCAATTATTGAACCGGGGGAAGGATACGACGGTGAAATTTTCATACAATGTCAAGTGGGAGGTGCGTGGGCAATATGCTTTTTGACGATCCTGAACCGGCGTTCCTCATATTTGAGCTACCAACAGTCGTCTCGTATTCAATGGGGTACCCGCTGGGACAACTATTGTACGTAATACCTTCCTGCTAGTACTGGCCACAGGTTATTAATGTCATGTTGATTTTCAAAGTGCATGTTTTCGACCCGAAAATCCACTGGTTCAGGTCAGTGAAATCTACTGTATACTCAGAGCAACGTGGGATAAGCTTATCTAGTTTCTGTTAGTCTTGTGAACTCGGTTGTGATTGTATTGTTCTTGACTGGAATGGTCGCCATGATTCTCTTGCGCGCACTGCACAAAGATATTGCCCGTTATAATGCCGTCGAAGCTCAGGTAGACTTCGTTGGACGTGGCCTGACCTTGCGTCGCTGGAGTTTTTGCTTACCCGAGATCTCGTAGGAGGATGCGCAAGAAGACTTTGGATGGAAACTTGTACATGGAGATGTGTTCCGCCCGCCACGATGGTCTATGCTGCTCGCGGTGCTTGTTGGAAGCGGCGCGCAATTGTTCCTTATGGCATCTGTAACACTAGGTACCCTGGTTGAAGGTTGACTGTGGATAAAACGAGACATACTGATGCTGGTGTGGCTTTGTGCAGGTTTTGCGGTCCTCGGCTTCTTGTCGCCTTCCAGCAGAGGCTCCCTATCAACTGTTATGCTCGTCTTTTACGTCCTCTTTGGAAGTGTAGCGGGTTACACATCTGCCCGTTACTACAAGATGTTTGGGGGCGAAAAGTGGAAGCGGAACGTTGTGCTTACCGCTTTCTTAGTGCCAGGGTAAGGTTTCCTGTCGATCGTTCTTATGTGAAAATCCATCTTTAATACTGGAAATCCCCTAAGAACGGTCTTTGGCATTTTCCTCACCCTCAATTTTTTCCTGATTGGCGCAAAATCGTCTGGTGCGGTTCCTTTCGGAACTATGTTTGCCCTCATGGCAATGTGGTTCTTGGTTTCGGCGCCTCTATGCTTTGTCGGTGCTTACTTTGGATTCAAGAAGCCAGTACGTATTACTTCCTGTGGTTCTGACTGTGAATTTAAGCTAACGACATGAATAGAAACTTGAGCACCCAGTTAGGACCAATCAAATTCCTCGTCAAATCCCTGAACAGGTACAAATGATCTGATTTCATCCAGATTACACTTCATCCTAAAACCTTTTTATTATTCAAGGCATTCTACCTTCGTGCCATTCCCTCGATTCTCATGGGCGGTATCCTCCCCTTCGGAGCGATCTTCATCGAACTTTACTTTATCATGAGCAGCATCTGGTTCAACCGCATCTACTACGTGTTTGGATTTCTCTTCCTCGTCTTTTTGATCTTGATCTTGACCTGTTCGGAAGTCACGATTTTGATGTGCTACTTCCATTTGTGTTCAGAGGATTATAGATGGTAGGCGCAGAAGATGGACACAGCACCATCCCACTGGGCTTACTAGTTTCTCTCACTAGGTGGTGGAGGGCATTCCTAACCAGTGGAGCATCGGCTTTGTATGTGTTCCTCTACGGCGTGCTGTACTATTGTACCCGGTTGGAGATTAATGACGTGCCATCAACCATTTTGTACTTTGGGTGAGTTGCAATAGTGTGCATTTACACCCATGGGCAAAGTACATTAACCGTGAATGTGGCAGGTATACTTTCACCATGAGTTTATTGTTCTTCCTGTTGACTGGGACGATCGGGTTCACGGCTTGCTTCAAGTTTGTGAGAAAGATTTACGGTTCCATTAAGGTTCGTTCAGTTCCAAGCTATGCGAGTTTCACGTTATGTCCTCTCACAACTAACGATTTCATGTACATGTACAGATCGATTAGTGGAGGTCAAGTAGACACGTCCATTTTCTGTTAAGGGCAGTGTCGAATAAGAAGATACGAGTGATAGACACAGTGTGACATGGTCATAATGTTTAATTTTCTGCAATCCAACGACTGTCGTTGGCGCAATGATTCCTCATATATATTATTGAAATTGCGTTGACTCAGCATTGTGCGATGCATCGCCACTACCGTAGACCGGGTATACAGTATTCCTCTTTAGTGTTCTATGATTTAGGTCACCACGGTGATCCCGGGCTCTTTGATGGGCTTGGACTCTTTGAGGCGCTTCTGACAGGGCTCGACGTGGCAGATGTTGGACTAGGCGTCCCAGGCGAGATTCTCAGCGGAGATGCCGAGGCAGACCTCCCGCTTTTGGAGTTCAATCCTGTTTTTGCACACCAACTATTGATGTGTCCAACCAATGCGTCCTCCCACTCTGCCCAAAAATGGTTGGCTTCTGGTACGATTATCACCGTCTTGTTCTCTGACGGTAATTCGTCCACGAACTTTTGAAAGTTTGCTTCGGATGTGAAATTGTCTTTTGCACCGGTTATAAAGAGCTTTGGGATGCTCGTAGATATGGACTTTAAGCTTCCTTGAGATTTTTTGCCGTTGAAGAGGGTGAGGAACCAAAGTACTGGTAAAAGGTTCAGCCCTCGGTTCTATGGTGAGCATGTCGAAAATAAGCCTTACCTCCACTTGTTAAGGGCGAGAGAACTTCAGTATCTGATATGCGTAGTAAATGACATCTCGGATGAACTCACCTTGGATAACTTATCGATATGAAACCAGCTAGTTCAGGAACTTGTCCGGCAATTGCACCCATTGCTACTGATCCGTACGAATAGCCCTACAATGCATCAAGCTCAATATGCTGTTGCATGAGGCCATCAAGTCCTGATATACCTACGCATAAAACTATTCTCTTTGGTGCCAGGTCAGATCGGCTACGTAGGTAATGACAAATCGCCAGAACATCTTCCATCTCGCCCGCCCCTAAACTAATGATTGTCAAAACTGGAGGCGAAGGATATCATGCAAGCATGTGGTCAAGTACCCCTGAAGGACGTTCGCCCAGTAGACCGTCCCACACCGCTACAGAATGGCATTTAGGATCCTGTCACTGATGAGCTCCTCCTAACCCAGGCGTGTGGAACAGCGGATAGCACTATAATGCGTACCGAAAGTTAAAACGGACGGTCATATAACCTTGGTGCGCGAAATTGTCGAAAAGAGCTCGGACGACATTGTTTTCTAGGTTCCCGCCAAGCTTCAAGTAGAGAGGTGAATTAGCTGTACAGTCTAATTTTTCGAATCCCACAGCAACCCAAAGCTCACCGGCCCGTAAGGATGCGCAAATATGACGCATCTATCGAATGAGGTTCGCCAATATTGACAACTAGCCATAGGAAGAATCAAGATGCCTACGAAAACTCACGTGTCCTTTCTACCAGTACCCTTGTAAATGCGGGTCTCAAGTTCAACCTTGTCGGTGGAAGGCACATGCTGTTGCTCCTCTTGGTAATGGAGCACGGCAGAACGGGAAACATGGTCGAGCATGCTGATGTAGCAATCTGACGACGTGCTTTTGTCCATTGCGCGGTTTCGTGATTGCTTGTGATCACGTGAATGCTTACTCAACTGTGGCTGGTTGGATCCATTCCAAGCCTCGAGTTCTTGCGGCCACTTTGCCGCTTGCGCCCCATCCAATTAAAATCCCCACACGAGCCGTCGTTGTATCCCAGATCCCTGACGTAAACATTGAACGTTCCCACCCATAAAAGAACGAGGTCGCTGAATCTGCAGTTTTCGCACACGATCGTCGTCGTCCATCAGGCCAGAGAGTAGGCCCAACACACCAGCTGCAGTCAAGACATATTCCTGTGAACCACTTTTACAAGCATGCTTCCCACCATCGCCGCCATCGCCACGGCATCCGTCGCTGTTTTGTCGTCATTAGTTTCTGCACAGTCGATAAAAACATGCACTCCTTACCAGTCAGAATTCGACTTCACAGGCTTTCCTCCTGCATGGGAAAAGGCATCAACAGGTGCTTTACGGGAGAAATCTCTCAATTAAAACTAAATTACTAAAATTCCACATTTGATTTTTAGGCACCGTGAACTCGGCAGAGTTTACGGCCCTCAAGGCGCGGATTGATTGGTCAAAGGTTCCAAGCATCCCTCCTAAAACCGCGCAAGCGCCCACAGGACCGATGGTCACGACGGGATATAACGTTGCAGCTGATCCAGGTGCGTATTTGTTCTCGCATGAGTTTGGGCTGTGACTTGCGTAATAATCTGTTACGCTTGTACGACAGACTGTTGGTGGACGGCCACAGGTTGTACGAAGAGTAAAGTCGCTGGCATTGACCCCGATATTGTTCAATGTCCACAGTCGTGTAAGTAGAGTCGTTGCAGCATCGACTTTCGAAATGACGATGCTTATTACTGGACTTTCAAATAGCAACTCTCGGATATACGTTTGATGATGGTCCAAACTGTACCCAGCCTTTCCTGTATGACTTCTTGAAGCAGAACAATCAGAAGGTGGACCTCTTCTATATTGGATCGAATGTCCGAAACTGGCCACGAGAGGCTAAGCTTGGAGTCGACGCTGGACACCACATTGCCGTACACACCTGGTCGCACCCGCTACTGACCTCCTTAAGCAATGATGAAGTGCTTGCCGAGCTTTACTACACCAAGAAAATCATCAAACTAGTAACAGGTGTGACCCCCAAGTACTTCCGTCCTCCACAGGGCGACATTGACGATCGGGTCCGCGCAATTGCAAAGGCCATCAACCTCACCAACATTCAATGGAACCTTGGTATGTTACTGGTTGTCCCTTACTCTAATCCTTGTTCTCTGAACTAATTGTCTGTGCAGACTCCTTCGACTGGATGATGCAACCGGCTGGTCCGCGCTCACCTGCTGAGATAGATGCCAACTTCCAAGGCTGGATTGATAAGGCGAAGAATGGCTCTTTCGCAAACAGCGGTGCTATTTCTCTCGAGCACGAGGCGAACGAGGGCACCATGAGAAAAGCAATCGAATGGTATCCCAAGCTAAAGGAGTCCTTCAAATATATTATGCCGGTAGTGAGTTGCCAGAGCATCGCTCATCCCTATGAGGAAACCAATATCAGCTTCCAAACGTTCCAAGAAGTTGTGGGTGGCAAGCCTGCTGGCTCGGGATCTACCGGCAGTGGAGCACCGCCGCAGACGGCCGCGAGCCTGGTCGGAGGGTGGGTTGCGGCCGTCGCTGCGGCAGTTGGAGCGGCATTTTTGTAGGACAATGCACATTTCTATTCACAAATTAGATGTAAAATAGTTTTCCATCCTGTATCTTACTCATGTTCAATTAGCCCTATATAGCTTTGGGGAAGCATTCTGTTCTGAATATAGTGAACGTCTTCGATTCATCCGTGTAGGGCACGCACGCGACCCTTCTGAGATGCATCACTCGCACCTCCTTCTGGCATCTTGGCAAACTGGTCAGCGAGATACTGTAGAATGGCAGCGACTCCTGCCACGATGACGTGTTGCGGTGGCGAGTCAAAGGGATTGTCACGAAGATCCAAAGTCTAAGGATGGATTAACTTTAATTGCTCATCGCTGATCAAGGACTCCCAATGTAGCGTACCTGCAACTGGCTCATCTTGTGCATTGCTGGGGGAAGGTCGCTCAGTCGGTTGTGACTCAAATCCAATCGTATCAAGTTACTTAGTTCGCCTATTTCGGGTGGAATGAGATTTATAGCATTGGAACGGACCTCGAAGACTGTCAATGCTTGGAGTGATCTGGTCATCATTATCATACCAAATTAAGGGGAGTTTGAATGAGATCCAATTTCATCTACTCTTACTTTATGGAAGGAGGGACCGTTTCCAGTTTGTTGTTATTCGCAAACAACCGCTCCAGCTTTTTCATGTCGCCAATATCATCTGGCAGCGTGATGATGAGATTGTGACTAATGTCTAGCTCAGTCAGGCTTGACAATTGACATATTTCATCAGGAAGAATTTCGATGCTGTTGTTACTATAGCCCAAGAATGTTTTAATATCGTTGGCGCGGATTCTCATGCTGGCCATAAACACGTACTTTAAAAAGAGTTTGACGAGATGCTGCAAGTTTTTGATGGTTGGCGGAATAGCAAAGGAGCTCAACTGGTTTTGTCGGAGATCAAGATGATGAAGAGCAGTTAAACCCCCTATCTGATCAGGAAGTTGGCGTAAAGAGCAACTGTCACAATTGAGAACCCGGAGGGATCGGAGACTGCCCAAGATTTCTGGCATTGTATGAACGGTTTTTGAACAAGCTCTCCACAGAGTGAAAAAGAGTACAATGAACATACCTGGCAAATCCTCCATCTGTCCATTATCCTTCATTACCAGTTCAGTTAAATTTACCCAATTCTTGATGCCTATGGGTATGCGTGTGAGCTTGGTGTTTCGCATGTTGAATTTCTTCATATTTCGCAGACGGGAAATAATGGCTGGTAGGTCATCCAATTGGTGGTTTTCTTCAATGTCTAGTTCTTCGAGGTGTATGAGATCGCCACCTGGAGTATGGATAGGTTACTTTCCGTTGTAAGTGATCCCATCATGCCCTACGTTGGGGTCAGGCGTTCCATCGACAATCCATCAAGCTCCCCCCGCTCTGCCTGTCTGCCTGGTATTCTATTTTCCCATCATCTCTCTCAAATATATCTTTTTCGAAAACTCACAAGAGTCAGGAAGAGTCTTCAGTGCATTGTGGCCCACGAACAACCGCACCAACGTCGCGAGTTTTCCAAGATTTTCTGGGAGCATCGTCAGCAAATTATTGCTAATGTTCCATTCCTACAATGTAAGTTTAAAGGGTGAGAAAACGGTACTTGTCGGGGTTCAAGTCATGGGAGCGTACTGTGAGAGATCGCAGTGACGATATGTCCCCTGTAATCGCTTTGATTTTGTTGTAACTAATGTTGAGTATAGAAAGGACGGGGAGGCTATAAACGCAGTGAGGAATATCCTGTAATGCAAGCGAATTTGATATCAGTTTTGTTATCGGCAAAGAACCACAGGCATAGATTGCATACTTTCAGGTCATTGTGGTGTAGCTGGAGGGTATGAAGATTACTGAGGTTGCCAATCTCCGTTGGGATATCCCTGGCAAAAGATAGGGAAGCCTTAGACAAACTCCAATTGTGGCGATGATTTGCTTTCGACTTACTCGAGCTGATTTCCGCTCAGATCTAGTCGGACTAGATTTGTCAGTTCACCAATCTTTGGTGTCATTGGAGAGTAAAAGAGTCGATTGCTTCCTAGATATTTGTTTAAATGTTAATGAAGAACCGCCACGGTATATCGAGATCGAGCAAAATCACTCTCACCAGCGTCAATCTCGACCAAAGTTTTAGGCAGCCACGGTGGAAAGTAGTTGACATTGTTCTGCGAAAAGTTGAGTGTTCGTAACTGCCCCAGTCGTCCTGCGCCGGAAACGTTAATCGCAAACAATAAAATTATCGAACATGGATACCTACCTAGCTCTATCGGCAAGTCAATCAACAAGTTATTCGAAAGATTAAGATTCTCGAGCTTTTTACAGCCTTTGATTTGCTTTGGAAGCGATTTTATATCCCGCTTAGAGAGATCCAGCTCCTTCTCCCTCCTCGCGGCCCTGATGTCCTTCACCAAAGCATTACCCATGGATGTAGATCGGATCCGTTAATTACGTCTACGACTGTCAAATAACTGATTGTGAGGTGACTACATCCTCGTTAAAAGCTTTTTCATATGATACCCTGTTGTTTGTAAAGATTCAAGGAAGGGTCAAGCTGAGGGTCTATTACGTCAGCGGCCACGATCCAGGTTGGAACCAGCTTTCACTTGCAACTTGCTCGTCAGCGCATTTGCCAAAATCTTTTGACGAACATCACCTCCAATTGCTTTCTAAACCTTTCATATATGATACAAAAAGACGAGCTCCAAATGGATGATTCTGATGACCTCCCTCCATTGCTGGTACCCGTCGAAGAAGGCACTAATTTACCTGACGTATCTGAGACAAGGTGGGTGTAAAAATAAAAAGTCATGTACCAGCCGTATGCTCTTAAATGTATCGCTAACGAAGCACAGTACTGTACAAACAGAAAATAATGATAAAGTTCCCGTAACAATCATTACCGGACATTTGGGTATGTACTTATGAATCCTCGACTCATGGGGGTCGCTAGTCTGCTCGACGAGACCTTAATTATATTGCTGGGATCAGGAAGCGGCAAAACGACTCTAATCACTCGCCTTTTAAATGATGAAACCCACAAGAAGCGAATTGCGGTTATACTGAACGAGTTTGGCGAAAGTAAGCCTTCATCTTTGTCCGTCTTGCTCACGTGGTGGTTGACTTTTCACACAATG